CAATTCGAAGCGCTTATCGATAATCACGTTAAAGTGGCGAGTGAATAATACACCCAAAACAGGTAATTTCAGAACAAGCGGAATTATCTAAATTTTAGAGGATTTTATTCTTATATATGGCCTCAAGAGAATTTCTCGAAGATTAAGAGGAAAATATTATAAGCAGATTATTCTGAAAATTAGAGGGATTATATATTATATATGTGATGCAAATCTTATTGATTTTAATATAAATTTCCTCTTATACACAGATTATTTAATCTTTTTTTAAGAAGATTATTATTTACTCTTACTATATTTTATTCTTACTGGTTATACTAATTGACTTGAAAAAATTATAATGTATAGCAAAAAGTAATAAAGATATATAGATGTACTTCTGGGCTCTAATTCTATAAGAAGTAGGCACGAATGAAATAAAATCATCATAACAAACAAATTTCCAATCAGTTTTCTTATGGACTTCATAGCTACAAAGATGTTCATCATAACTATAATTGTATGAAACATAGTTCAAAGAAAGAATATATTATCCAACTTCTTGTAGTAGATTATAAACTGTATTTGACCAAACATGAGTAAATTATCTTCGTTATATGTCACACACATACCTTTTTTAAAAAGTGTCCCAAATATTCTGACGAGCATATGATTATTTTTTCGTTCATGTCTGGAGGTGGAGCATGACTGAACAAAAGAAGCCGACGTTCAAATCAACATATTCCTCTTCATATAAGAGGGAAATTAATTGATATGAGAGGAAATCCTTTTGAAATAAGAGGAAAACAGTTAGAATGATACCTAATCAATCTTAGATAAATGCTTTTACTTTAATCGCTTCGTCGAAAGAGGAAGCCTTTCTCTGTAAAAGGCTTCGCTTAGAATATGAGACTATGGGAAAAATCACTTTACAAATAGAATACTTTTCTTTTTTGGATGTACGGGGCACCGAAGAAGTTCTCTCCGCAGGGAGAGCTATTTTTTCTCGCGCCCGTCCTAGAAATCCCGGCCGAGACCGCGTCGCTTCTCTTCCCGGACTTGCGCCGCGCATTTGTCTCGTGTGGCTTTCACGAGCCGCGGGACAAATGTTTTACACCACGCTAGTTACCCACAGCGCTCTCTCAGGAGAACGTTCGATATAAATCGTCGCTGTTCATTCATCCGTGCGATCGCGGTGTTTAGAATACACATGCAGACGCGAGGAACGCGACGACGTCGAAGTACGAGCGCGACGGCGACGGCGAAGTGATATTTCCGCTCGACAGCTGATCGCGACGTTCAAATAATTCTCTCTCTCTCTCTCTCTCTCTCTCTCTCTCTCTCTCTCTCTCTCTCTCTCTCTCTCTCTTCCTGCCTCTATCGATTAACGTGATGGTCACTTTCACGTCGAAATCCCAGAGAAAAGTTAATCCACGTAGAATGTCACGACGCGGTCACCTCGCGCGGTCGGCGATCGGTGCCACGGTAGCCGCGTCTTATCAACTTGTCAATGTATAAAGCGCAATTAACCGCGTTTGAAAAATCGATCGCAGGGCCAACAGAGGGCCGATAAAACGAGGTAACCAGTTCCACACGTCCCAAGTCACATCGCTTTCTACTGTAGCTTCGATAATTAAATCAGATTCGAGTTGCGCAAGTGAGCGGAGACATAGTAATCTCGGCAAATGAGAGAAATCGACGACAAGACAGGCACGAAAGCAATTTTTAAATGTCCACCGTTAGCCAGCTATGTCATTATTTTCTTCTCGCTGATCGATTATCCCTCTGTATTCCTCGCATAGAAACTACGGGGAGATTCCAAGCATTATCAATCACGAGGAACGACGTCGTCAGTCGTAGCGTGCGCCCGAGTGTTCGCAAATAATATTTCGTGACAATAGAAGGAATATCAGGAGACGAGACAAGCTACGAGCGAGGAAAATTGTACGAGCGAAGGATTAACGATCCGCACATGCGATAATTCTCACTGCAAGACTGTCGCGCAACAACAATCACGCGCGTCCCTCTTGTGAGACTCGATCTATTGGACTCGAGCGGGACTCGGAGTGAGAGAAAAGGGCCGAAAAATGAGGGAAGAATGGTTCCTAGAGCAAGGTGACAGCCGTCACTTTCTTTCCCAATTAAACGATTAATAAGGCGAATTAAGTCGATTAAGGAGAAGAGCCGGTCGGGTGCAACAGCACGCTGTCGAGCCGTCGCGACGGATCTTCTTTCTTCGCTTGACGTTGTCCCGGAGGCGTCGTCTCCGACGGAGGAACGAAGTGGGACGGGATGAGAAGCGAAGTAACAGCGAGGAAAAGAGAGAAGGGAGAGGAAGAGAGACGATGGGAAGGCGTCGTCGTCGTCGACTCGACTCGCTCCCGACGACTTGCCGCATTATCGTCGCTCGAGTCAATGAATCGCCGCCTTTGGCGCATTTTCCGTTCGACCGCCGCCAACCAGCCGAACAGAATCGAATGTGGAGAGAAGTTGCACGGTTTGCAAGATCGAGCGTTTATTGGTCGTCCGCGAGACGACGCGATGATGATCGCCATCGTCGTCGTCGACGACGACGACGCGTGATCGAGCACGGGATTAATTTAATCGTCGCGCACTGACGCGCTATCGTTCCAGCGAACACCTCAAAAAATATTCCATTTGTAAAGTGATTTTTCACATAGTCTCATATTCTAAGCGAAGCCTTTTAGAGAACACGGATTCCTCTTCCGATAAAGCGATTAAAGTGAACCATTCGTCGAAAATTTATTAGATATTATTCTGTTTTCCTCTTGTTTCAAGAGGATTCCCTCTTGTATCAATTAATTTTTCTCTTATATGAAGAGGAATATGTTGACTCGAATGTCGGCTTTTTTGTTCAGTCATACTCTGCTTCCAGACATGAACGGAAAAAGTAACCATATGGGTCAAAATATTTTAAACGCTTTTTGAGAAAGGTATGTGCGTTGTAATATATGTAACATATAACGAAGATAATTTACCCATATTTGGTCGAGTTTATAATCTATTGCGAGAAGCTGAATAATATATTCGGTCTTTTAACTATGTTTCATACAATTGGTTATGATGAACATCTTAGTATCTATAAAGTCCAACAAACAAAACTGATTGGAAATTTATTTGTTATGATGATTTTGCTTCATTCGTGTCTACTTATTGTAGAACAGAAGCCAGAAGTACATCTATATATATAATAAATTACTTTTCGCTATACATTATAATTTTTTCAAATTAACCAGTATAACCAATAAGGATAAATAATAATCCTCTTGAGAGGAAGTTAAATAATCTGTATAATAAGAGGAAATTTATATTAAAATCAATAAGATCTGCATCATACATATAACATATATAATCCCTCTAACTTTAAGAATAATATGTTCCAAATATTTTCCTCTTAATCTTAGAGGAATCTTCTTGAGGCCGTACATAAGAATAAAATCCTCTAAAATTTAGATGACTCCGCTCCGTTCTGAAATTACTTTTTTTTTGAGTGGTCGTCTTTAACGTATTGTCACGTTGTATTGCTCACGTGCAGTCGTAAACAATTTCGCTCGGCGCCGGCGAGACGTTGTTGTCGTATCGGCTGCGTGCAGTCTGCATATACGGGAATGTTTTACGGCAACGGAGCAGTGCTGACAGTGAAAATAAAGAGACAGAATGGGCAAACACGAGGGTGCGATGGAGCTAAGCAACACAAACTCGCGCGTGCCGCTACGCTCTCGCGAGCGGATTTTACGGTGAAAAGTTTCATCGTTTTATATCGGCAGGAGAGCACTCGTGTCTTATCGAGATACATTTCGCGTGCGTCGCTACGCGTTCACTCGCGTGTTTGTTTACTGCACCGTCGCGCGATCGGCCGTACCTTTAATTTCCTGCAAATCCATAACCAAACAAGCTTTCGCGCTCTCGCCGCTCGCTCGGAGCATCGCGCATCTTCGTTACGGAGAGTTATAGCCGCTGTAAACAAAGGACTGGGAGACGCGAAGGGGCGGTGAAAAACGCGGAAATGGAAAAAGCTAACTCGGAAGCAAGACGCTCGTCTGTACAAAGAGACACGGACCCCGTCGCGAGCCCGTCGTCCTTTTGTTTCCTCCGCTACGTCGCCATGGAAGCTCGTCCGCGCGATGATGAGGTAATTCGCTTCGCAAAACGATAAGTAAAGCCCCCATAGTGCGCGCCATCGAAGGGTGCTCGCAGGCCCGTAACGATTTTTCCTTTTTTCCATCAGGGTGACGTCAAACGTCGCACCTGTTATTGATCAGAGGGATCGCACACTGAACAACAATGAGAAACGGAGAGAACGAGCGAGAAGGAGAGACGCGAAAAGAGAACACGCAGTGTGTGTCGCGCTCCGTGTCGAGTTTTTGACCGCTTCGCTCGCGAATCGATTAGTCGAGTGCAATTCAACGGGTAACAGCGCAGCGCAGCGCAGCGCAGCTCTCTCTCTCTCTCTCTCTCTCTCTCTCTCGCGAGGTACGTTCGCAGGTCCGCCGTGAACTTTTTCGAGAGAGCTTTCCCCGGTGAATCTCCCTTGGCGTACTACTCGGTTTATCAATTTCACAGCGCACTTCATCGCCGTTTGACATTTCGACGATTCTCTCGCGACGAGCGCCTCTGCAGCCGCAACGGTAATCGCAATTACCGCAGCGCAGACGACGGCTGGAAATGTTTATCCGACGTCGCCGTCGCCGTCGCCGTCCGTCGCTGTCGATGCTCAAGGTGACGTAATCTCGAAACAATAGAACCCGGCACAGCGCTATATTTACAGCCATCGCGCGTAAAACGAGACGAACGCGATGTGCGGTTTTGTGCCTGAAGAAAATACGAAGACAAAATGGCAGAGAGGCGAGGCGAGGCGAGGCGAGAGAGGGAGCGAGAGAACGACACGTCGAATCCGATCGATGCGCGGCCGTGCCGTATTGTCTCGTTCGAGTAGATCCCTTCGCTGCGCGAAGCACGAGCGAAGTACGAGCATCGAGTACGCGATACACGGCACGTACCTTGCACGGTTCCTTGCTCTTCGTGCGGCAGAAGCCGGGCATCTTGATACCGCCGATCGGTATCTTCTTCTTGGGTTTTTGCTCCTCGGACTCGAGATCGGCCGCAGGTGCGGCACCGGTGTGCTTCGTGTTCTCGGCGTTCAGCATCTTCTCCCTCTCCTCCTCGGCGATCTCCTTCTTGTCCATGCTTTTGTTCTGATCCTGATCCCCTTGACTCATTCTTCCCCGTGCCTGAAATCGAGAGCGGAGAAAGCTCGTTAGACTCGGCGGCGAGGTTTCATCACGCACGGGGACGTTCTACGCGCGTCTTCGACCTGACACACTTGGACTCGGCGAGCTGCGCGAGCTGCGTCGACGGGAATTCAACGCGGTTCTTCGACGCCGAGGATTCAGCGTTTGCTCGACGTCGGAGGTGAGATGTTTGTTCAACGCCAAATAGATCGGAGGAAAAGGAAGAGAGAGAGAGAGAGAGAGAGAGATAGATCTCGTAGACAGATAGATAGATAGAGAGAAAGAGAGAGAGGGCGAAAGACCTCGGATTTTCACCGGGAGGAAATCGTCCTCAAGTTCAAGACGGCGTCTGCAGGTTCAACTGGAAGATTGCGCGCTGGAACGCGTCTGGGCCGTGCTGTATAGCAATCACGTTCAATTGTTGTTCGACAGTCGGCACTTGCCAAGCGCGACGACGGGGCGCACAGTGGACGATAATCTCTCCTCCTCGCTATTCCTCGAGCTTCTGCTATGTAAATCTCCTTGCATTGAGATTGATGAAGATTGCGCGTCTGGGAGAGCGTCCGCTCGGCGGAAACGGTCAAATTTCCCGTCAAATTTCGCGTCCGCGATTTTCCTTCGTCGCGGAGGATCCTCTCGATTGCGCGTCGCGCGTCTGGCGCGACCGGCGAGAACTTGTTTCTACTCTTCCGTATTTTTACTTGTGTGCGGCAAATCGATAGCTCTCGCCTTGAAACACGAGACCGCGTCTGTGCGAGATGCACAGACACGCGCGGGGAATTTAGCGCGCCCGCGGATACGTGACGTAACGCGCGCAGGTGAAACTCGGCTCTTTTTGAAACGAATAGCCTCCGCTTCGCTGATCTCCGTATCGCGTTAACGAATCGCAGGGACGGAAAGCGCCGCTTCTTCAACGGAGAAGCATCTTTCGCTGTTATAATCGCAGGTCGCTATTTTTGCGCTCGGAGGAGACTCCAGCGACTCGGGACATGCCAATTACCGCGACGCTTCCGGTGTGCTTTTTCCACTTTGCTCGATGAATTAATCCGCGATATCCTTCTGTACATCGCAAGGTTTCAATAATTGCGCTCCGAGCGACGAGTAGCCGCGTGAATAATACATCATGACGATTTATGGTCGGACGTGCATCAAACGATCTACGAAACGTCGCGTGGCCTCTCTCTCTCTCTCTTCTCTCTCTCTCTCTCTCTCTCTCTCTCTCTCTCTCTCTTTCTTTCTCTCGCTCGCTCTTCATCTCCGCGGCGCATGCCCGCTTAAATGATTTAGCGCGCTGTCCCGATCAACCAAATTTAATTTGATTTACCGTGGTTGAGCCACTCTATCCCCGTGATGAGGAGAGCGCGCGATTAAATTTACGGAAAGGGAACACGGGCGAATATCATTAAAGCGAGGCAGAGCCGGAGCGGGCCGAGAGGAGCCGCCAGACGAAATCCATCCAAAATTCAACACATGTACGTATTCAGGCCCGCGAATAAATTTTACGACGTGACATTAGCAATTAAGAGGGCAAACCTGTAACGTGAACGTGAAACGTTCGACAAATTGGAAACACGAATTGCGCGCGAGTGCGTGTGTATATTTGCGTAATAAGCAACAGGTATGTTGCATCAGTTTGCAACGAAAGTACGCGAATTTGCCGCTGACAGAGAGAGAGAGAGAGAGAGAGAGAGAGAGAGAGAGAGAGAGAGAGAGAGAGAGAGAGAGAGAGAGAGAGAGAGAGAGGGAGAGAGAGAGAGAGAGGGAGAGAGAGGGAGAGAGAGGGAGAGAGAGGGAGAGAGAGAGAGAGAGAGAGAGAGAGAGAGAGAGAGAGAGAGAGAGCACGATGCAAAATGGAGGAAGCCCGGGGACACGATTGCCTCCACTAAATACATGCAGCGACTATCTAGCTAACTGCTATTCGGCAAGTTCGAGGACCGATGCCACGCGATCGATCGGTTTATGTCTGACCGTCGCGACGACGCTCTCGACAACGACGCTGATTCCCGGTGCGACGGACTCGCCGTGGAGGGGCGAAAATGCTATTTAATCCGCTGTTTGTTTTGTCGCAATTGCGCGCTCGAGTTGCGCCAAATCGAATTCCGCAGCTGCGTGTATCACGTGTGCCCTTCCCGTCGCCCAAAATCGTTTGACCTGAGATGCGCGAAGCGTACGGTTCTACGTTCGATCTCATGGAACTTTAATAAAGCAAGCGAAATAAATTGATGGGAACATCAGCGGGCGATTCGTAAGGCGCTTCCCGTCCCGCGGGAAATCGGACGGGGCCGAGAAAGAGCGCGTCCTTAATCTTCCGACGGAAAAAGTCGAATGACCGTCGGTATGGTGCAAAATCCGCCGCTGGGGGAACAAAAGTATTGATATCGGCTCAAGCCGTGCAAAAGTAAGCCGCTGAAACCGTGATGGCAATCCTCTCTCGCAGGTTCGCAATCCTGCGTCTACGGGATGAGGCGGAGGGCTGCGCGTTTTCGCGAATTAAACTCTCCGTCTGAATGGCGCGTGGCCACGTTTGTTACGCGCGCGTTGTCTGAGCGCGTTGTCGAATATCGAGAAATAATAACAAAAGAAAAAATGTATGTGTGGGTAGTCATGCTGTTACGAGCTGCCGCTGCGTTCGCTTTGACCTTCGACTGTCAAACGGCTCCTGCAATGTCCACTTCGTTTTCCCGTTTACTCTTTCTTCAGAGTCGTCCCTTCATTCTGTGATTCCTATTTCGCCATTTCGGGGGGATTCTTCTGTCCGTTTGCAACATGTAGAGTCCCGACGTCAAAGAAACGCGAGACGAGAAACGGCTATTATTTCGTAGACAAATAAACACACACACACACACACACACACATGCGCGCGCGCGCAACTTCCGACAAAATCCTAACGGTAAATCAATTAGAGTTAAACGTAGCGTGCTGATAAAAATACGGAAACTTTCTCCGCGCGTTTCCCCTGCAAGACGTGCTCCGTTTCGCGCAGAAACACATTCAGGGTGCTGCAACGTTATACCGGAAGTGCCATTACGAGTTGCATAAAGCCGACGAGGTAAGAACGCAACAATTTCGCCAGCTACAATGAATGCTCCAAATAACTGAAAGAGAGATTTCCGTGAATTTCCATCCACGCTGCTGAAGGATGGGTCTCTCTCTCTCTCTCTCTCTCTCTCTCTCTCTCTCTCTCTCTCTCTCTCTCTCTCTCTCTCTCTCTTACAAACCAGGCATAAACCGTTAATTCTTAGTTAAAAAAAATTCTCTCGAAGGTAGAATCTTTTTTGTAATCAAGAGACTCGAGCTCTTAGCTTGATTAAAAGCGCGAGTAAAAGATCCGTCTGGAGATTCCCGGCCTGCCCAGAACTTCCGGCAAGTTCGACGTCGGGATCGCGCATTTTGTTGCTTTTACGCGATTCGTAACAGCGTCACCGGCATCACGTGGATTCGATCTCGCAGAAGCAAATGTTCGAGTCCGAACGTGCAGCTCGGCTGCTCGGATGGATACGAGAAGGAGAAGAAGGAGAAGAAGAAGAAGACGAAGAAGAAGAAGAAGCGGAAGGAAGAAGGAAGAAGAGACGCCGAACATCCGCGCAATTTCTCATACGCGACACAACAATGTTTCACCGCGGCGCATTGTCTCGGCGAAGCGCGTCCCTCCGATCCTCCAGCGAGGGGAGGCCGGATTGTTCCGAATTCGCGAGATGCAATAACTTCGGTTCCGTCGCGCGCGACGCCATGGCCGGGGGGGGCCGGTCGCGTGAAATGGCGCTATTCAAAATAGAGCGCGTGAGAGGTTAATAATTGACGCGATTGACGATCGATCCCTCGGCCGACACTCGCGGCTCGGAGGCGAAATCCGCGCGCGGCCGGCGCTCGGCCTTACGAAACGCAGCATGTCCGGAGCATGTCCGAAGCTGCGTGCTGCGGACTCACCCTCTCGAAGAGCGCGTCGACGGACGCCGCTGTTGCTTCTCCCTGCTGGTCGTTCGCACACAACCACGCACGTCCGCTACGAGATCATAAAAGCAGCCGTCTCCAATTGTCACGGCCACCGGCGATGTCCGCTCGCGGCAGGATGGCGAAGAGAGACGAGCGGCGTACCTCGGCGCGTACGCTCCGCTGTTTTCCGCTTGCGACTGACGAACCTTCCCAAGGGTACGAACACACAACACCCGAGACCTTTGTAAGGATACTAAAAGCGCGCGACTAGCACGACGCTGCCGTTGGGACGCCGCTGACGAAGGGGGGGTGAGCGTTCATGGGAAAACGCGACCGCCGCAATTCACGAGCGGGTGGCCTCGCGGCGCCACCTAGGCGGCGCGACAGTCAACTACTCGGCGCGTAACGGTTCGGCCCTTGCGTGGGGTTTGCCGTCCTTGCCGGCGGGCGCGTTTTACGCGCGTTCAACATGGCGGAACTCGAGATCGAAGGCGGCGCGGGCGGCGGCGCCTGTGAGTCTCGCAAAAACATCGTACAGCTCGTCGAGACGGGGATCGATGGTGGAGTTTGGTTATTCGGTAACGTTAACTCCGACATATTCAGCCGATTCAGCGTTTTAGCGTTTAGTCGGTTCTTTCTGCGCGTAACACCCGAGACACTCGAGAGAATATCTGCCGAATTTTCTCCCCCTCGCCGCTCCTTTCTCGCGGCAGTCGCGGCGCGAAGCAGCGATAAGTTCTCGATAAACATCTAATGTAAGAAAGCGACGCGGTACGCGTGCCCTAATTATCATGTGTTTTTTTTTCGTGAGGCGCGAGTGCTCTTGTTAGGCGTGGCAGCTTGACCGACCAATAAACGACGAAGATAAAGGCAGAGCGGCGAGATAAAGAGAGAGCCGCTTGTCCATCAGTCACCTGCATAAATTTTACGAGATAACGCGAGTATAACGCAATATTGTCGTCATTGAACGCTCAGCGGTCGCCCTCGGTCGTACGAGACGCAGCTCTTTCCTTATCGCGCTCCTACTCGACGCTGTTTGGCACATAGTTCATTCACACGCGCACGTGCCAAATAATAATGTTATTGCGAATGTCAGAACGATTCGCACGCTTCCTACGTGTTTGCTCTCGTCCGTTTCCTCTTTGCGACCATTTCGTCAGTTTTGTCGCATGCCCGCGATTGCCGGCTTCGATGGATTTCCACGCGCGCTGCTTGTTCCCAGGAATTCTTCGGCCGTCTACACGAGGAGATTCCGAATGACAATTTCAAAGAAACAGCACGTCGATCGAGAATGTATCGTGTTTATTGAATCGCCGAACATCTTATCGTTTGTTTATGACATTGTCGTATCGCTTGATTGGGATTAACATATGGCATCGTGTGTGTGTGTGTGTATGTAACACCGCGTAATTTCTCGCGGAACGTTACCGCGGTTAAACCACACATGAACGCTAGCAGCTTTAGCGAAGTAAGCGATCGAGTAGCTCTTAAAATTTCTACGTCATTATTTATTATAAAAAAAGAAGACGCATCTTTAAAAAATCTACAATTACACATCATAGTGTCGATTCTATCAATTAACATATCGCATAGTAGTAAAATTTAAACTAAAAATATATATATGTACAATCGTAAACGCATAATTCTGTACATAATGTTTGTGTACAATTATCACTAATTGTGTATTAATCACAAGCTTTACGTATAAAATGTGAGACCATCTTGTAAGAAAAATCGTGATGCATTTTTCTACAAGAGAGTATCTTAAACAGGAATTATTTTCACCTACGCAGGAAGATGAATGATTTTTCTAGATATTTTTATTCGTTTGACACTCGGACGCATTTGTGATTCAAAGAGTACAATTTTACTATGAATACCGTTGTTTTATCACATAATAAACTACGCTATTTAATGGAAAAAATACTAATATTTAAAGAAAAAGAATTTGATTTGCTATCACTTACTACATCAGTTGGTTGATATGATTGGTCAATCTTAAATTTTGTCCCGTTGAATTCGGCCATGTTATGTGATTAAAAAATATCATGCTTTTTAACACTTCGTGTTTTAATCCAATCTATCACTTGGTCTGACCAATATAACATTTAATTAGAAGAGACCAATCATCGGCAACATTAATTCTAAAGAATTGTTCTTCCTGTGTACGCTAGAAGTAGGTTTTCTTTCACGTGCTTCTTCATTAGAAGGGGTCATATAAATAAATATTAATTTAAATTGTTTCTTAAGAAGATTTTACACAGATATATATGTCGCTGAATATTTACGGATTTAAGTTGTTTTCTTTCTAGCAGAGTCGAAAGTGACAATTTTATAGGATATTCTTCTGATATTTTTAAACTTTCGCGGTATAGAGAAATGTTTGATTTGATCTCCAGTTTTGTGCTGCATCCTTCTCGGATTTTGGATTTCTGATATTTCGTGAACATTTCAGTTCATTTTATCAGGGAAAAATTTTAGGGAAAAACCAGAAATTGGGTTTCTGAAGAAGTGAACTGAAATGTTCACGAAACCTGAGAAACAACAAATTTAAGATGGACGCGGAAATTAAATCAAATATTTATAGAATATCATCGTTAAAATTATTGTTGATGTCATGTTAAAAATCTGGCCAAACCATTAGATTCACCATAAAAGTAGGAAAATATGTGTATCATTATGACAGAAAATGATATGAAAAGATCTTGTAAATAAGGTGAAGTTAAGAAGTTAAGAATTTCGAAGATGATTAATCAGGATATATTACTTGCGACTTGAATTTGTTGAGATCCTGTAACGTATATAAATATAACGAGTTTGATGTGATGAGAATCAAAACTGGACAAATCCAGTTTATTATTCACATATTACTGAATTGTCAAACTCCACGGGTGTTCCGGTATAACGCCGTATTGTATGTCCAACAAATGCTTTTGGAGCATCTCGTAAATCGGCTCGGAATGCTCAAGTGTCGGTATGTGTAAACCTTGGTCCAGGAATTGAATGTATGATATAGGGCTAACTACACACGCAGTACCTGCCCCGAACATTTCCAGTAGCTACGGCAGGCAAATTGATATTGTGACAATAGATCCTCGCGCAGGGAAAGATAAACAGCATGTAAGTAAACTTATCAGTCTCATATTCCTCTTACCCTGTTCTCTGAAAGCAATTGTATCACTTCCTTCATGGTGATGTTTCTTTCTGAAACGTCAAATTGATTCCATTCCTTCGCTATACTCAAAAGTGAGTTTCTCACGACGCCGGGTAAAATTAAGCCACTCAAAGGTGGCGTCACCATCTCCTTTCCTGCAAGTCACATAAGAAGAAACAAGATAAGACAACTCTTCAACCCGTTCTGATTCGCTTCTTATTCCATTGTCTGACTTGTTATAGAAAGTTTTTGTTTGTTCCTAAGAATCTAAGAATCGACGAGAAGGAGAATGGTCGCTTACTTCCATCATCGTTTATGTAAACCATGAAGATATTCATGGTGCCGACTTCGGTGAGCTGGTGATCTTCTCCGTACAACCACAGCACTTGCTGCAAACCTTTATCCATGGCCTCCTGTTGCACCTGAATCGTAGGCCCGTAATTGCTGCCCAGCTTGGAGCTACCGCAACCACCGGGCCATGCCCTGATGTACTTGGGATCCGCAAGTAACGAGACCCCGGCTTGCTGTCCTGTCGTTTTAAAGTAAGTCCCGACAGGAGATAGAATTACATACAACAAAGCCGAATCGGTTACACCAACTCCGAGTGTAGGCTATTTATAAAAAGAAAAGGACAAACACACTTTATTTTATCGAGTTGGTTAATGATGTAAATTATATATGTATATATATATATATAATTATATATATATATATATATATATATATATAATACACTACAATCTAAAGTGGATTAAACTTACACGTGTGATTCTGTTTATTTTCTAATTCAAAGAAGGAACGAACGCTAAATGATATCTTTGACATATAAAAACTAGGAATATTGAACTATTGTATTAATGTAGACATGCATCTTTTCACCTATAAATGAAATTCCGTCATTAACGAAGAGGATCGTTGCATCAGATGTGACACATTGGCAATCTGCTGTAACTGCTTCAAGGTCACTAATGTACACAAGACAACGAGAGAAGTTTTCCGCATGATCGATCACATATCGGCGCGAAATCTCGAGCGAGTATTCCGAGGCGACGCTTACGACGTTTCGTCAGTGAAAAATTTTAAGACGCTGAAATGTGCTTTGTTTATCTGTCGAATCGTTACATTTTTGCAACAACGTAACAACGACGCATCGCTTAAAAAGCGATAAAAAAGAATACGTCTCATATCTCGGAAAAATATATATACATACGTGCATCGTTACGATAAGAACTAATGTGAAAAGAAGTTTGACTTCCTACATTACTCCCGAATTATATATACATATCGAGAAACAAAAAGCACACTCGAATAAGTAAGATGAAGATTGAAGAGGAAGAATATCATAGACGACAAACGGGGATATTCCTGTTCGCGGTGCAACAGTAACGGTAAAAGGACACGGGTGTGATAAATGTCGTTTGTGTATGATCGTGACACACGATTCCACTTATCGAACTTTATCATTGAGTATTGAGAAATGTAATGATTGCTCTCTCATAGCGAGTTCTCTCAGCGGTCACGATGACGTCTGTGACATAAGTGACATGAAAACTCTCCGTATCTTATTATGTTCGCGTTGTCGAACGCGGGACTGTATATCGCGTGATTATTAATATTAAAACGAGTGCGCGCGGTGAAGAGAGGAGGGTGAAAGAAAAAAGAAAAAAAACAGCTTTGATAAAACGGGTATCGGGTGAACGCGCGCGCACGCGCGCGCGACTCTTGACAGACATATACACACACACACACACACACACACATACTTTATGTAATGATGAAAAAACGCGTGCTTACCTCGATGCCTATATATGTCGGGCGAATGTAAAGACTAGAGGCGGTAGAATGCGGTACCCATTCTTGATCTATACTAATTAATCTGCTAAGACACTTAATTAATTCATCTCCTCTGAAAGCAGGCAGACCAGACCTTACTGCTGAATTATTCATTCGTTCCATATTTAGCTCTGGCCTAAACAATCTTATTTTGCCATCAACACCTCTATAAGCTTTCATACCTTCAAACAACTGAGGAAAGATTTGCACATGTATTACTAACGTCAGATTAGACTTGAAGGACGAGATATACAGAATAAGAGAAGAAGAGTACGTAAAAGCATATAATAAGAATTTCACCTCCGTGATATTAACGCTCGCGTGTACACACAAGCTTAATATCTCCTCTTGCGCATGCTTCTCTTACAATTTTCTAACATTTAGACAATACAGACGGTACAGCCTTCGAAATCTGGATTCGATTATCGCTCGGACGATATTTTTGACAATACAAGCAAATATTTTTCACGACAACATTTCTTCGTATTCTATCAAGAACTTTCTTCATTGCAATTTAATCTGATAAAAAAAGGGGACTTGTCATCGCCGTTTAGACAATCAATGCATCTCCGTTTAAGCAATTTCACGGACGGATTTCTCACTTCGGCGGGACGCCGAATGTGTCGCACCGCCGAATATGATATTACCAATATGATATACACGCGATACGTAACAGTATCGATGAGTATACTTGGCAAAGCAAATGAAAACACATTGACGAGTCAATTGTGACGATTGCTCGAGGAAAAAGATCCGGTTAACGTCTGTAGATACAAAGATATATGATGTGTGTATACCTCTACTGCGTAGTGGAGCACTTTTGCCGCTGGATGGAGAACTAAGTTTTCGAAAGGCATAATTTCCGGCGCCTGCCAGCCACCCAAGGCTTCATAATAATGTATTTTGAGCATGTGATCGGTGAAGTATTTGCCGAATGTTAACTGGCTAGTCGCAGGCTTGGGGCGCAATTCGTGCGGGTTCGCGAGGCGCACAGACAGGTCCGCATACTGCAAAATAGTAAAACGTGGAGGATCATGCCGTCACCGACTGCGCAGTCGACATGTCGTCTCAGTACCAAGGAACGAGCTAGATACCTTAAAGGAGTCCCTCTTAGGCGAGACGTGTGGCACGGAGTTCTCATCTTTGACTTTTAAGGACGAACTCCACCTCACACTCTGCTGCAGCTGATCGCGGATCAGACTCGCCAAGGATAAGATCTAAAAAGAGCGAACTTTCGTGATTGTATGTCGTATGTAATGAGAGGAGGAGGAGGAGGAGGAGGAGGCGCGTGTTTTTAGCGTCGCACTCGAGAGATCAAGTAACGTAACGCAATCTAAAACCGCAATCTAAATACGCACGGAGAATCCGGTTGAAATAATTATTCTCTGCAAAATGCAGTTAGCCGTAAAAAGTAGCGCAATAAGAAACGCACGCGCGCGCTTCTTATCGCTGTTCTTATACTATTTCGTTGGCCTTGACCAAACTGATGGGTACTAATGGAGCTAATGGGAACTTTTGTCACGGCGTTTCAAACTCTAATTAAACGCGTGGTGAACTGTCGTTCCGACGAATGAGAATAAAGTCGCCTGAGGCTGAATTCACTTCATCAGCGGTAAATTCGATAATCATTCTAATTAATCATTCTAGCCGCGCTGGCTCATTACGTAACGGAGCGGATCGATGCGTACGAAGCAGCCGTTTGGAATTGTTTTTTCTTTTTTTTTTTTGCGTAATCGCACGTGACAATAATTCGCGTCTTATCGGCGATAATACATCACGGCACTTTGCGTATGCGGTGTTCATAAAATTCGATTGGCAGCGCGTTAATGGAAGTCGCGCGCGTCACCTTCGTATCGAAATTGCGACTGTTTACACACGTGCGGATGCGTATCAAGAGAACGCGTAATGTAATCGCACGATCCGCTGACGTTTCTTCGATGCAAATATTAGCGCGGACACATCTCCTTACATTCTGTCGAAATTTTCCTTTTCCCCGTGCGCATGCAGACATGAAGTTCCACGAAAGAAATGTCCGACCCACGGTCGAAGATAAAATCAGCTCGTATTTCTCGATTGCCGGGACTTTAAGTAAGATTCCAAGACCCTTTCAAACTAAGATTCCCAGTTTATCTCGGCGGTGATTTCACGCTTCGGAATTCGAAACAGACAAACGTTTCGCCGCCTCGACGAATCTTTCCCGAGTTTTCAAATCCGATGCTTTCCGACCGGATATTCCTTGTCACTAGTTACTTTGTTATTTTAGCGTTACTTTTAACGTTAATATTGCATTTTCCTTATTTTCTTCGTTACTTCAGCTCGCGCTACGAACGTTACCGCAACCCTCTCCTCGTAGAACGCGCCGTTCAGCTATTCGCGTATTTTGCGTTTTCCCCCGACGGACGTTCGTTATCGCGGCAAACGTACATGATTTTCTTCGACGCACGGGACGGAGGAAAGCGCAGTTTAAAGCGAAGAAAATACTTCATTTAAATCGATCGATTAAAGCGATCAGGTCGGGCCAGGTTAGGCCGAAGGTTAAGCCAGGTCTAGGTTAGACGCGAATAAACACGCCTGTAGTAACGTATGATGTATCGCGGTCGTAACGTATGTATAACGCGACATTAGTCGTCCGTTGATCCTGCGTGAAAGTATTGTTTACCTGCACGCGTCTACGTGTTATTCGTAAATCGTACACGAGCAGACGAAGAATTGACGAGTTTCCCTCGTCTCTGCCTCGTGCACGCTCACAGATAACGCCCGTATCTCTCTCTCTCTCTCTCTCTCTCTCTCTCTCTCTCTCTCTCTCGCTGTGACGCCTATTAATACATCGTAAGATGACTAATTGGCGATTCAAGAGGCCCGCAATTGTAAACAATTTGATTACGGTATCGAGAGACGCGATATTTAGAGTCTCGTCGACGGCTCGCGTTATTCGCGAGTCGCGCATACACGACGTGTTGCACGATACATGGGCATAAATTCGCCGTGCGAGTTGAGCAACAATTGCGCGTCGATTTGTCGAAGCTTCGTGTTGTAGATTCACGGCTTCGCCGTGTAGATTTTTGTCACCGATTCCTGTGCATTTTTTACTCGACAATAATAACTTGATTCCGATCGCGCGTTAGACGAATAAATTAGCGGACGTCGCGGTCGGTTAGGCGCGTCGGCGAGCGGTTTATACGATGTATATTTCCCGATGCGCCTGCATAATGCATTAAAAATGCAAAATATTCGTCTTAGCGGACTTTGCGTCATCGAGTCTCGATTCTGCGTTACGTAATTTTTACCTTTCGTTATCTTGCGCTTGTCGTACGCTCGTCGAAATTACGCTCGCGCGTTACGAAACGGCGTGCGCGCGCGCACAATTACGACGATTAGTGTATGTCTACAACCTCGCTCTAAGAAAATATTTTATCTCTAAGCCATAAGCTCTCTAAGCTGTAAGCTGAAAACTGTTAAATAAACCTTAAAGACGGTAATCCACAATATAAAACGTAAGGCGTAAAACGTGACGTATATCAACCAATGAGAGAAGGGTTATTCGGACTTGGTGGTTGGTAATAATGTGTTTGTAAACACGCAGTTTCTTTACTTTCTACATAACCAAGATGGATTTACATCAGTGTATGTCTACAACCTCGCTTTAAGAAAATATTTTATCTCTAAGCCGTAAGCTCTAAGCTGTAAGCTGAAAACTGTTAAATAAACCTTAAAGACGGTAATCCACAATATAAAACGTAAGGCGTAAAACGTGACGTATATCAGCCAATGAGAGAAGGGTTATTCGGACTTGGTGGTTGGTGATAATGCGTTTGTAAACACGCAGTTTCTTTACTTTCTCCATAACCAAGATGGATTTACGTCAAGCTCTCCTGCTAACAATGGTGTTGTGTTCGTGGAATGTACATCTTTTACAAATATATGAAGTACAAAATTGGAGGTTATATCGGCGAGCGAGGTTATATCTACGATCGACGGTATATTCTTTTTGACACGACAAAACATCCTCTTCGCTGATTGGCTGAAAATTATATGTCGGCTTTAAGCTCTATGCTCTAGACCGTAGGAATTGAGTTTTGCGCAATTCGCTCAGATCTAACGGCTAAAGCTTAAATACTGCGCGGGAATGTCTTAGAGACGGAAATGACGAATCACTTAACACTTACGGCTTAGAGCTTACATCCTCTTAAAGCAAGGTTGTAGACATACACTTATAAGGAACGGCGTGATTTATCGCATGCGAGCCGCAATTGCGCCGCGCGATCGACAATCGATTGACTTTCCTCGCTCCTGCAGCGAGAGAGCTCGAAATTCGCGACAGAGGTCTGCGCTTTTTCGCTCGATCCTCCAGAGACTGATCTTTCCGCCCTCCAGAGCGAAACGAATACAGATAACGCGGAGCGCGTTCGGGGAAAAAAGAAACGAGCTTGAGGCTGAAGTGCCTCTTAAGAGAAGAGAACACGGAAGATACCACGACGCGGTCGTATCTACGACATTCCAGAACATTCCCGCAGGCTGCGGAGTGCGGAGGAACCTCACAGTCGGCGTACGATAGCGAGCGCGTAGCCGCGCAGAGACGTGGCTTATCCAACGATATCGACCTGACCGACGCCTCTCACTGGAATCTCCGCTCGAGGATGGCTCGACGGATGTTAATAAAGCGGTCTCGATTTCCCGGATTTCTCGCTCCGGATTCCGCTCTCCTTTCCCGGCTGCCTTCGAACGCAGCGTCTTCTGTTCCCTCCCCTCTTTCCTTTTGTCGAGAGGACAATATCCCCTCTCGCGAGGACCGCCGCGCGTCGCAAGCTGGACGGTCCCCTTGTTCAAGGACGAGGGGGGCTCTGTGCGAGGGAAGTTGCTTACCTTGCGTCGTGGGTGAACCATAGTGGGTAGTCGGCTGGACGAGCGAAGGTTCAACGTAGAGACTGGCTCGACTGATCAGGCACGTTGGTCGTAGCTACTCGGTTGCGTTGTCCTGCGTATCCACCGCAGCTCATTATACAGGAATGCACAGTTTGTGCGCGCGCGCGCGCTCGTCGCCGCGCGTCTTCCCGAGGAAGACGTCGGTGTAGCCGATGAGGGTGTAACTAGCGCAGGTCGCGTCCGCGAGATAGATAGACAGACAGACAGACAGAGAGAGAGAGAGAGAGAGAGAGAGAGAGAGAGAGAGAGAGAGAGAGAGAGAGAGAGAGAGAAAGAGAGCGAGGTAACTCTTGCGCAAGCTGGTGCCTCGATCTTCGCTCGGCGACTCGACGACTTCGCGTTATCCTTCGAGCAGCGGCGAAACGGAGCGGACTGAAACGTGAAACGGTGCTTGCAGCTTCGTTATCCTAGCCAGCCACCACAGCAACGAAATTGACCAATCGCGCGCGACTCACACGATGAACGGAATGGTGGTGAGTGTCTGCCGGCCCGAGTAGGAAAAACTTGAACGCGTTTACTCAAGTGGAACGACCGTTCGCTGCCTCGCGCTGCCTGTCGGCTCGGTCGTCCGATCGCGAATACAGCTCGTTCGAATCAAGTTCGTCGGTTAATATTTTATTTATCAGCGAGGGGGAGAGCGAGAGGAGGAGAATGACCGATGAGGGGGGGGAAGGAGAGAGGGAGAGAGAGAGAGAGAGAAAAAGTACGAGACAGCGCGAGAGCGAGAGAGGGAGCGACGAGAAGGGAGGCGGGGTAAAGAGAACGTCGGGAATACGTTTCATTCGAAGAACCACACAAGTCCCTCTCTCTCCCTCGCTTCCTCCAGCAGCGAGGGCTACTCGAACTTGTCGAACGCCTTCGATGGTGACGATGACGACGGGGCGGGGAGGGGGGGGAACTAATGATTTTACCGTGCGGGGCGGAGAAGTGCGGTGTCATTCGCTCAGAGAGCGAGCGAGTGGCGGTAAAGGGGAGGAAAAATTGCGACTGGGCACGAGCTCATTAAAAACATGTTGATAATCGCGCCTCCTTCGCGCCGATAAGCGCGCGCGCGCGCGCATGCGTTGTTGTAAGAATAAGAATGCGCGATCGTTCGATTCTCGAAAGTACCGGACGGAATACGTCGGAAAATGTTTACCGAGGGGCGTGGACCGACGTCCTAATTCACGCTCTTACGCACGACGGCGAGTTTACCGTAAGGGAAAGAAATACGGCATATATCGGCGATCGCCGCAGCCGGTTCTCGCCGATCCCCCGGCGCGACCTCGACGCTCCGCGCGATAACGCTGCATCGTCTTCTTTCTATGATCTTTAACTTTTGATCCTCCGATCGGCCGCCGGCTCCGGGACGATAAGACTCTCGTGTGTGCACACGCGAACGTCTGCGCACGTTTTCCTCCGGGCTTTGCTTGATTCATCGTATCGACGCGAAAAATTTCGCGCTTTTTCCGCGTCCAGCAAAAATCCTGAAGAAAGCGGCGACCAGGCAAATTCGTTATCGACAAATGGTGCAAGAGCGGACTCGACGTGGGAAATGTAATTTTAGCGTGCCACGGCGAGAGTCGAGATATCGGCTCTCTCTCTCTCTCTCTCTCTCTCTCTCTAAATATCAAGAGAGGAGCTCCACTCGTCAGCACGTTCATACGTTTTGTACTGTACGGGTTGTAACTTTCGCTGCTGCATCCACTTTTTTCCGTTTCTTTTTGTCATCACGGTGGAGATTGCTTGATCTTATGCCCGATGGAGGAACGACACGTAAGAACAAGGTAGCAAATCTCGGCGTTCTTGCGCTTCCCCTTTCGCGTAACGAGAGACCCGCGATGACGTCACGTGACCGCGCGGTGTCGCGAGTCGCGCGTAAAAGCGCGCTTGAATTCGGGAGATACGCGCATAAAGGCGCGTATACACCGAGCGAACAAGCGGCCGAATGAACAGCCAACAACGAACAATGATAAATTCGCCACAGCAGATACGAACTGAAGCAGTTCGACTCGCTTCCCCGATCCGGCTCGCTCGCGAAGAGATATGGATACGCACTAATCGGACGAACGGCAAATTCCATAGAATACTACTGCGTACATCCAGTAGTATAACCGCTCATTGAGCGATTAGTGAATTCTTCCGTCCGATTGACGCGTTCGCTCGCGAACCCCGCGGAACCCTAACAGATTTATTTATTACTGGCTCTGGTAAAGTGAGTAATAAAATTACTCGTACGAGTGAGAAAATCACTTACTGTCACTGGCCAATTTATCCCACAGCCACCGATAAATTTCTGTAATAAAGGGGAGTACACATTGGCCGAATTCGCTGTTTGTTCGTTCGCAATGCGCGTAAAATTGCAGCGATACACGCGACGCAGCGTGTAAAATGCAGAGCGGCGACGCGCTCGTGACGAGCTCGATCTTGCCGGCTTGTCTCTCGGCTGGCGCGCTGAACAGACCCCGCGACCGGTTTCCCCATATTTTACCTTCTCTTCGGCCCCCCACCCGGATAAAGAGGCAGGTTAGATGAAAATAAAGTGGGGGTGAAAAGGGAGTGAAAAAAGGCAGCGCCGGCACGCGTGTGCAGCAACGGCGGCGGCGGATCTACTATCTGGCGTCCGCGTATCTACGATGTTTCTTCTTATCTCGAGAAATATATTCGGTAAAGATCGAATGGCGCAGATTACAAAAAATATTGATAGCGTGACGAGCGTAACGATAAAGCCCGACGAGCGCCCGAGATGCGTCAATCTTCGACTCGAGATATTGCCCTTCTCAATGAACTGCTTCCCTCGATTCTTCGACGATTCATTCGAGAAAGTTCTTCGAAACAGATTCCGATTCTGGCCGAAGCTCGTCGTGAGCTGAAAATTCGTTCCGTCAAACGTGCTTCTCGGACGGACAAGTTAATTTAGAAGAGATCGTCGAAAAGGAGAGAGAGAGAGAGAGAGAGAGAGAGAGAGAGAGAGAGAGAGAGAGAGAGAAAAGATAAGCTTATCGGTATTTTCAGTATGCGATTTCGAGATTGCTGAATAATTGTCTGCTAGATAAGAATAGAATAGATAAAGGCGCATAAGATATATAAACTGATAATCGGTAAAGGCTCTCTAAAGGCTTGATTCATATTTAGTGAGTCGAACTCGAAGCCGAATTTCGAACCTGGTCGCATCACGAGCGCGTCTTCGCCGTCCCCATTGAGTCCGATCTTAATCTTGTAGCAACCCACCCGATCTTCTCTGTTACATCACGTCTTTTCACGCGACAACGAAGCGGCATGTGACTTTCGTTGAAGAACGCTGGGAGGCCACCTGAAGTAATGTCGACGGTGCGATCAACTCGATCGTATGCACGCCAAACAGACTCGTATAATTTGGTACGCTAATGTGAACTCAGCTTAAAAGCTCGCTATCGTACATTTTATACATTTATTCAGACATTTGTGTATTCATGCGTCTCAATTTGAAAACGTCAAGTGATTATCGTTGAAAAATGTGCAAAGTCTGCTGGTCACATTGAAGTAGATTAGACAAGAATTGCTTGCAAATAAACTATTTTCCGCGCAAACGGACGGCTTTGGGGGACGCCGCTCGTTTGTCGGTTGAGATTTCGAAACGCGCTGCAAAGTGTTTCGTCGTTTCTTCCTTCCTGCAACAGCTTTCGCAACACACCGCCCGCGGCGTCTCATACGTAGAACGCTAGCTCTGCTGGTCGTTGAGACATTCAGAGAAAATAATAAACTTGGGCTCGCGCGTAGACAAGCGTATTTTAAATTACGAGGACGAGGCATTCGCGGCTTATGATATTCGTCAAATATCCGAAGCCGGCGATTGAACGCTTGATTTTGACGTTTACTATCGAGCCACTTACGAGACACTATTGACACTAATTCATCGTCCTATTGTTTTCCTTATTTATTCGCGTCAGCGAGTGCAGCATTCTGATTTTAAAATAACATGCTCGTTATCTTTATACGAGCGCAGTCCTCGACCTTCGTGCCGAATAGTAACACGCAAAAGCCCGACGGTGTGCGTCGGATTTCAGATTTCGTGTAATTAATTTATGTAAGAGAGAGAAAGAGAGAGAGAGGGAGGGAGGGAGGGAGGGAGAGAAAGAGAGAGGAGGAGAAAGAGAGGCAGGGTAAGGGAGGAAAGGAGAAAGAGAGACAGGGAGAGAGGGGAGAGTGAGAGAGAGAGAGAGAGAGAGAGAGAGAGAGAGAGAGGGAGAAGGACGATCCCTTGATTGAAATTCATCGCTTCGATCCCAATCACGCGAGAAGATTCCAATCTCGCGGTAGTGCGTCTTCCGCTGCTACGCACTATGCGACTCCGTGACGTACATCGGCGCTTTTGCGACCCAACAACGTCTTCCTCCTTCTCGCCAAGCCGGCCGACGCTGATTTGCGCATTCCGATGTCAACAATGATGATGTATCGTTTAACATCAATGGTGCTCGTTTCGCACCATTATCTCGACTCGCAAACATAGTTGCGGCAGCAATTGGCGAGAGGCGGGAGGAGAGGGAGGGGGAGAGGACGAGCAAGAGGAGCGAGCGAAAAACAAATGCATACGCCAATGACCCGGTTTACGTCATTGCGAATGTTAATGCCGATCCGCGCGTATCGCCAATGCTGGAGATCGATCACGATAGATTACCATAGGCCAAAAGGTAAAGCTCTACGTAACCGCGTTATTCCTTGTTGACGAGCCCCACAAGTGTGACGCACAACATCCTATTTCCGCAGCTGCACCGACACAGCGGAATTCTTCCAGCGGATTGCACAACCTTGCGTGCAAAACAATGAAGACCCGCGTCAGGCTCTTCCTTCAGATGGTCGTCGCACCTGCAAATCTATCGCGAGCAGGAGCGTGCTCGAAGGAAAAGGACAGAGAAAAGGAGGAAACGAAAGAAAACGAGCGATTCACGCAGTTGGATCTCAAAAACGTGTGGGAATGGAGAGGTGACCGAGACGAGACCAGCCTCGAGAGTCTCTCTCTCTCTCTCTCTCTCTCTCTGCTGCTTCCCTTATCGTCCTCCTCCGCTCTTTATCACGAAATTATTCGTCACTGAGTTTCTATCTGCAATATTCCGCGTTTTTGCACGAACGCGAGCGGTATGCAAAGAGGAAAAAAGGAGCGACCGTTATGCGTATTTCCGCGTGAATTAAACATCGCTTCGGAATAATGTATTTCAATGAAGCGCGTATTAACATATTATATTTCGATCGGCATCGAGGTCGACAGAAAGGAGAAAGACGGCGGGGCGGCAGGAGAGAAGAAGAGAGAAGACTGAGCGCGGCGAACGCGTTCAGCGAACGCGACGCTCGATTCGCGCGCGCACCAATGTCGTGTTGCAACAATGTTGCAATGTTGCAGCAACGTTGCAGCAATGTTTGTGCTGTATGGGACTTAACCTAACAGTTTTGCTGTAAACAGTGAAAGAAAAAAGAAAAAAATAATACAAGATACAAAACGATATGGCGTTTTGTTGCATTTGTGGCGTACATTTGAGACACAAGTCGGACCAAACTCGATTTCACACACAGGTATAAACATAGAGCGAATGTATCATAATATAGCAAGCTAGTTGGGTTAATGAAACCTTTTACATCTGTTTTTATATTTATTTTACATATCTTTTATATTTCTTTCGTATATTTTATCTTTTTCTTTCACATATTTGTCTATAAATAAATACTTAAACTGTCGTACAAATATGGCGACTCTTGACAGTCCAGCTGATAGATATAAGCTGGAGTGAGAAGGAAGTAGACGCACTTAGAAGTAGAACAACTTTCTCTCTCTCTCTCTCTCTCTCTCTCTCTCTCTCTCTCAATCATAAACTGCCAAGTTCCGGCTTCACTTTTTCGAGTGAATGCTTGGTCTAGGTATGCATGTCGTTGCTCTCTCGGCATTCCGCAACGGCCGTGGCCGCGGCGCGACCACGTGTGAGACGCGCGCACGATTCAAACTCTCGAAGGTGTCGCGATCGACTCGGCGTCGGCGAGCGATCGATCGCGCTCGCGAGAGGGACGAGAATCTGGTAACGCCCGGCGCCGCCGTTGACGGCGGTGACGACGATTGGCAGCACTGATAACGTGCCGGCGTGTAATCGGGCGTGAAACTCGACGGGATGGTCGCCGAGACGACTGACGTATACAGGATGAGCGTCGCGACTTGATCCGTCCGGCTGTGTTGTGTTCTCTTTCTTTTTTTCTTCTTCTTTTTTCTCTCTTCCTCCTCCTCCTCGTCTCGTCTGGTGAAGGAGCGGGCGTGCACGACGCGACGGCGACGGTGACGACGACGACGACTGAGACCGGAGAAGTGCGACAACGGAAAGGGCGCGGGGCGGCGAGAGAGCGCGAGGTCGCGCTCCAAGATGAGCCTCAGCATAACCAAGTTCTTCTCGAAGAAGCGGAGCTGCCCGCCCGACACCGTGGCGGAGATCGGCCTGCCCACCAATGTCTCGCATCAGTTCCACGTGAGCAAAAACGCGGTGACCGGGCAGCTGGAGGGTCTGCCGGACCCGTGGATACGTTTGCTCAACGCACAGCTCTCCAAGTCCGAGCAGGATGAGCATCCGGCCGCGGCGTTGCAGGCCATCAAGTTCTACAACTACTCCATCAAGCGTAAGCCGCAGGAGGAGGTGTTCAAGCCCTTCGTCACGCAGGACCTGATCGAAGAGGAGTCGCAGGAGATCGACAACATCCTCACGAAGAAGTATCAGTCCGGCTCAGGCGAGTCCGACGATAGCGCGGGCTTGGAGTGTCAGATAACAACGGCGACGACCATGGTCACGACCACGACTGCGACCAATGCGCCCAACAAGAGCAAGAGGTTACCCGAGCTACCGCCGAAGCTGAACAAACCGGTGGTGGCGAAGGTAAACAAAGCGCCGAAACCGACGCCGCGCCGGTGTACCGACAGAGTGGAGAAGAGCCTCACCGAGATCCTCGAGGACCTGCAGACCTTCACGACTGCCGACGACGACTCGTTGTTGTTGACCGAGAACGACTGCGAAGCGGAGGACAACTACGTGCTGTACCCTGCGGCAAGAGAAGAGGAAGACAACACGCCGCGCTGCACGTTGGAGGAGAGTCCGATCCTGCGGAGGAAGACCGACGAGCAAGCGAAGCTCAACGACCTTGCCAAGCTCAACGACGAGCAAGTGTACGAGGAACTCAGGGCCATCTGTCACAACGGTGACCCCAACTTGCGCTTCGAGAGGACCAAGGAGGTGGGAGCGGGTGCTTCCGGCACTGTGTTTATAGCCACCGACCTCCAGCACGATCAGAAGGTGGCCATCAAGGACATCGATTTGTCGAAGCAGCCCAAGAAGGAACTGATACTGACCGAGATCAAGGTGCTCAAAGAGTTCCAGCATCCCAACCTGGTGAACTTCCTGGACGCCTACCTGCTGGACGAGCACCTCTGGGTTGTCATGGAACTTCTGGAGGGTGGGCCGCTCACGGATGTGGTGACAGAGACTGTAATGAAAGAGGCGCAGATCGCGGCCGTATGCAGGGAGGTGCTCAAGGCGATAAACTTCTTGCACACCAGGGGCATCATCCACAGGGACATCAAGTCGGACAACGTGCTGTTGGGGATGAACGGCGCGGTCAAGGTCACGGACTTTGGCTTCTGCGCCAATATCAAGGACGACGAGAAGCGGCAGACGATGGTCGGCACGCCGTATTGGATGGCGCCTGAGGTCGTCACCAGAAAGCAGTACGGCAAGAAGGTGGACATCTGGTCGTTGGGCATCATGGCCATCGAGATGATCGAAGGGGAGCCACCGTACATGAAGGAGACGCCGTTGCGAGCGTTATACCTGATCGCCGCCATAGGCAAGCCGGCTGTACCTAGGTGGAACAGCTTGAGTCCGATGTTCCAGAATTTCCTGGAAAGGTGCTTGGCCGTCGAGGTGCACGAAAGAGCGACCGCCGACGAGCTGCTGTCTCATCCATTCCTGGACAACTGCGCGGAACTGACCACGCTCACACCGCTGATCCGCGCGGCGCAGAGAATCCTGCAGAAAGTGTTCCACTGAGCAGTCTTCTTCTCCGGGGGAATCGGCCGCGTTTCCTTCCTTCCTTCCTTCGCGCCCGCGCCGTCCCTCTGCGCCAGCATGAGTGCGACCTGGAAGGCGATACGAAGAAGAGGTATTTTCTACTGAATACGCACGACCACAATCCCGCGCGCATTATTCGATGTTGATGTTTTTCAGCTCACCCGACTGCCCTGACTTTGATCAATTTTCTCCCAACTGTGCTGGTTCAACGATGTTCATGAAACCAAAGCGTTGTGCGCACTTTGCAGTGTACGTATGTGTGTGTGTATGTGTGACAGAGAGAGAGAGAGAGAGAGAGAGAGAGAGAGAGAGAGAGAGAGAGAGAGAGAGAGAGAGAGAATGTGTGTGTGTATCTGTGTTAGTCGCCTTATTTTATACGAGAGACGTTTTGTCCCCGAGACAGAGTGTCAACAAATAGTTGTCCCTGAGTCGTGTTACTTAATTATATCGTGCTGCAAGCCAACAATTGCAAGCTGCTACCACGTGCGGCTGCAGCCAGTCTCGACTCCAGAGACGAGTCATTTGTATTTTATGTCATGTGTAATAACGACTTGCTGTTTCACTAAGGACCTTACATAGCTCAATGATAAGTGCGCAGCCTGCCGCTCGAGAGTTGGATATTCCTCGAGGGACAGGCGTAGAACGTTTCAGCTGTAAATACTAGGACGCATTTTTTACATCTTTCTTCGGGAGAAGAGTAAGATACATATATATACGTACCAAGTACCACGTAACTTTACAACTGGCCATGCAAAGTTGTAAATAGTTTCTAACGAATTGTACTTAGGCCATCGAATATAAGAGAGAGAGAGAGAGAGAGAGAGAAAAAGAATGTTTGAAAATCGATGCGGTGTGCAAGCTCCGAGTTTCGACGCACGATTCACTGGATTCGCACTTCACTTTTCTCAAGAAAAGGAAAAAGCTGAACGGTATGTGGGATACAATCGAGACATCCGATAATGCATTTTTTACAGATATAAGTTGATCGTTGGATATAGCATGTAAGAAATTGTTAGTCTTACACGAAGCTACTTTCAGAAAATTCTGTTCTTTGTGCGCGCGCATGGAATTGAGCCGTCGTTTGATAACGCACGAGACAATACATTGAAAATGAAGTATTATGAATGGAGTATTATGTCACTGCACTGTATTATGTCGCACTCATAATACTTGATTACGATCCTTGTAAATTTATTCACAGGGAAACATTCGCCGATCGCGAACGGGTCTCGCATTTCTTGTGAAAGGCAGTAGAAAATGAAAAATGCGTATTCTTTCTGACATCGCTTTCTCGCAGGATCAAGAGTTGAAGAAAGCCCTCGGTTGAAATTCTGTAAAATCGATCCTCGAGACCACGAGATACATGAAGAAACATTTTGGAACAAAAGTTCCACCATAGCCTTTGATGCTCTTTACGATATTGCGCATTCAATTTTTTTGTAAATGTTATTCTAATTTATCCTCAACTTTTTCATTTTTATCTTCGGTAAGGAAAGTGAATAATTTAATCTGTTGATATCTACTTAAAATTGATCGACCATTTTTAACCTATCTCTTTTTGATCATCGAAAACAAGCACATGCGAAAGAATACGTGTCTTTGATTTTGAGCTGCTCAGATTTAAGTCCAACTGAAACTCCCGTCAAAATCGGCCGTGGCTATTTCCACGTGTTTTTTGTGAGATGCGCGTATAGAGCGATATTTGTAGTTTGACCTTATGTTTAAGGACGTCCAACTCGTCACGTTAAGGACGAAATCCTCGTCCAAACCCTTTGACGATATTGAAGATAAGATCAGGCTATGAATGTAGCTCGCAATTTTGTAAGACTTTTATGACGAATTTTATAACGTATATACCTTTTCGAATCGCTTTTAAATCGTATTTCACAAAGGGCACGATATTGCTCAACCAAATATTGTATTCGTTTAGCTATTTTATAACGGACGTATATATAAATGTCTAACAGCATTCATTAGCAGACGCTCGATTTTGCGTAATAAGATTAGATTATCGAGAGGAACGATTATCTATGTAGATAAATACGTCGTAGGATAATTCTTCGAGCAGTAATATCAAGTAATACCTAAAGTCACGGACTGTGATAAGAGAGTTAAGTTACTTCTACTACCACAATTTAAGTCCTAGCATATTTCATTACAAATTATCACATAATGAAACTAGCAAATTACAGCGACAGCGGGGTTGAGAGAAACGATTATCGCTATGACAATGAATATTGATTTTCTGCGTATAGCGCGTAAAATGTGTGTATGTGTGTATGCATGCATGTTGATAACTTGAGATGCATCTAAACGATCTAAGCGATCGTGAAACTTTTCAATAAAAAGAAGAACATGTTCGCATTTGTCAATGTTAATGTACGTAAGATGCGCTCGAGGACTTAAAACGGTGCGATAAAGATCAGAAAAGAGAATTCTAATAAATTGTGCCTTATCGAAGTGTGGCTTAAATTAACGACAGGCATAGAAGTAATTTTATCAGCGATAACCAACGTATGAAGTTGCGACCGTCAAATATTCACGCAAAATGTCCCTTCGCGTTTTCTCGAAGACAAAAAAGTGCTGTCTGGCACGCTTTGCAATACAGCTTTGAGTATCGTCAGTTGCGTAATTTGTTATGTATTTGCTTTTCCGTGTATCGGATAGGAGAAAGATTGACATCTACTGATATAGTAAAACATCACGTATTTTATGCAATAAATATTTTATTTACAAGATGGGACTCATGAGTCTCATTCATGATTGCACCATCCCATTAATTCAGCTTAAATGTTAGAGATACGCATCAAAATATGTACAATCGAGTCATATGTTATGTATAGCTCAAATTAGTAACTTATCAATCGGGAGATAACCATCGTGTGTGTTAGCCGGCGAATTTTCAGAAAAATTGCCAATTTATTCGGAGGCGAGTTAGACTTATCTTGAAACATCCGTCGCGACGGCACGATGAAGATTTGGCTAAATTTGAAGAAGGTACCTTTGCAAGACGGTTTACAAAGTTCCTACATACTTACAAAAGAAGACTTACACATAATTATAAACGCTCTAATTATTTACAAAATTCTAGATATACAGCAGTGGACATTCTTATTATCCGTCGTTCGAGACTTTTGATCCTAACGACTCCGATTAATTTCACAGGTAAATCGTTGGATGAAGAATGCGTTGAGAATCACAGATGTAACATTTAATATTCGTACGTCTTTCAAGAAATATATCTCTTTCTCGTGTGTTTATGTACCTTTTGGCAGTTTAAGTGAACTTGTATTCTCTTAAGTAAACGGCGTTAAAAACATGTGTGGGTAATATCGGTCGCAGCGAATATCTTTATCTTTCAGCGGCAGTAAACACGTATAAAAATTGCATTCTCACCGGTTGAACTTTAACAACAACAGCAACAACGCGCAACATTAATTTCAATAAGTATCATATGAATCATGTTTTTCCTTGTTTATAGTTCCGACGACGTATGTGGCACGTAAAGACAGAAATCACGCCAACTAAAGTGGAATCTTGACGTTTGCTACAAAAACAGCTAATAATTTATGTGTACTGCGTAGCTTTACGCAGTGACGATATCGTTTCTTGTATGTACACTGTGTAATTAACGAAACTGTTGACATCGAGCTCGTGCATCATTCCACAAATGCTTTCTTCCAAGAAGACGAGCAACGACATTGCATAAAAAGGAAAAGGAAACTTCTCATCGATCAAACGGTAGAACAAGCTGTTTCTGTAATAAACGCAGGATGGCCGTTTCGTTGGGAAATTATTAATAAATATCACGCTTGTACCTGAGTGCCGGTATTTTACCAGCGACTAAGAAACTAGGGTCTTGCAGCATAGATCTCAGAACAGCCAAAAAGTCAGCCGCTTGATCCTCGTCGATTGCTCGTCTGTCGTACGACAACTTTGCCGTCATTCTTGTTACTTTCGTTAACGAGGAGTCTGTAAAAACATACAGCAATATTTATCAATGACGCGTTTTCATAAATTACGGAATATGAGTACGGAATATGAGAATTTTTTTCTCGATTAAAACAATCGACATAATAATGATATTTTTATTTAATCTTATCAATTTGGGTTTTATACTTTGCTGCTGAATCTCATAAAATTCGAAAATAAAAGTATGTCTGACTGGTCGTTGAGTTATATTACGTTCGATTTCTCAGTGAAGATAGTGGCGGCTCGTAGCGGAAAGTTTGGAACTACTACAAATAACGGGTCTAAAAACGTAACTCGGATTTCTCGGACCAGCGGCGCGATTCTTTAACTCGTTATTGGAGTTAACGACAGTTTCGTTATCGTAGCGCAGCTTTTCCACGGTCTACAAAAAAAGCTGCGCAACGATAACCAAAGTATCGTTAATTCCAATGACGAGTTACAGAATCGCATCACAGTTATGATTATTCAATCAGACATCCTTTTACTCTCTCATGAAAAATAAGCAAAATTCAACAGGCTATAATTGTGGCAAAAATGATTTGAAAAGAATCTTACAGCTTGAAGCATCTAATTCTTGGTCATATTAAGATCATTGGTATTTCTATCCAAGATAATTAAATGAGAAATAGCGTCAGTCCAACATTCAACGTTTTAGTTAAGCTTTTATACCAAATATTTTTCTTATTAAAATATAGAATATAAAAAATGCTTCTGAAAGGAGAAACTTTAAATTTTCTGAAAAAGTTGCACAGCAACCTGCATATTTATAAAATAAAGAAAAAAATTCGCACTTGTAAATAATATAAACGTTACCTATGTGCAATTTTTTGTTTACGTAGTATAACTTGACAAAATACATTAAACATTCTTGTAAAAAAACAAGTTAACTTTATATCCCACAATTAGAAACTTTAAGTCTGAGTCAATTAGAGATCGTAGAATACTTTTGGAGCTTCATCATCATTACTTTTGCGGAAGATGAGCCTATTCAATTTTGCTTATCTTACATAATTCAGGAAAGTGATCCTTAAAATTTCTGTGCTTTAAACTTCCTTAGAACTAATTACCTAATTCTTCACGTCCAGCGCCTACAGCAAGAATAGCGGTTTGCGGCGGATTTATGATGGCGGAGAACTCTTTGATTCCAAACATTCCGAGATTAGAAATCCTATAACGATAAATTTTGCATATCTGTTATCGTTCTCATTCTCATTCCAACTGAACTTACGTAAATGTGCCTCCTTGGAATTCATGAGGCTTTAGTTGACTTTTCCTCGCTTTCTCGGCCAATTCCCGAACATTTTTCGAGATGTCTGTCAAACTCTTGCCGACGGTATCAAATACTATCGGAGTGATGAGACCTGACGGCGTTGCTACCGCTACGGATACGTCGATCTTTGGAACTCGAACCACCTGAAAATAATCGCGATCGTTCATATTATGAAACATAAATTATAGATAGCGTACTCGAGCGCAGTTAAATTAGTATCCAACAATTAATCGTACTGACTTGTCCGTTCTGATATAACGTGTTTATATCAGGACACTCGACAAGCGCGTAAGCGACAGCTTTGGTGACGAAATCGTTAATCGATACATTGATATCCTCCGTCTTGAGTTTCCCGCGAAGCTCGATCAACTTGTCGATATTTATGTCTATAGCCGCGTAAGAATGCGGTATGGTACTCTGAAAAATAGAAGAATCGTTGCTATTGAAACAAACTGCTAATGAGTAATAAGTAAGCTTCTCATTATACAAAGTCGTATAATCTATTCGTACCTTTGATTCTCCTAGCCGTTTAGCGATAACAGCACGAATATTGGAGATCTCAACATCTTCGTACGGAGACGGCTTACCAGTGAGGACGTGCGTCTCCGACGGACTAGGAGGACGCGCCTTAGCAGCCGTTGGAACTTCTTCTAGCCAGGGAACAGATAAAAATGTAAATATAATGGTATAGTTATTCTAGGAGAGATAATATCGCAGATCCATTGTTGCATTTACCGGCCTTGAGCGTGACTTTTCCAATATTGTGCGCTTGAATATATGCGAGAACGTCGCTTTTCAGTAGACGATTTGTACGCCCGGTGCCTTTGATCGAGCCAGAACTGAGACCGTATTCTTCCAGCAGTCTTTTCACCGCCAAACCGTATACTCTGAAGAAAATATCGCAATAATTTGAAGCTATGTCATTAAAATATGTTCCATGAGAGGAATATTGAAAGGATAAAAAATTGACCCATACAATTAGATATATAGTTGACTGTATAAGTAAATGAATAAAGAAAATATGTACTGTCCACTCGGTGGTGGTTTTGCACCAGCCGGTGCAGTTGGTTGAGCTGAACTTGGTGGTGGTGGCGGTGGTGGTGGTGCAGATGCTGCTGATGGTTTAGTCAATGTTGGCACAACAACTTGCTTCCAATCCATACCTTTCTCAACTGTGATAGCAATCAACTGTCCTACTTCTACTTGAGATCCCTCTGGAATCTGGAAACAGCAGTAAGATTAGTAAGAGCAAAACAATTTAAGAATATTCACAAGCCTAGAAAAAAGTAAAAGATATGTACAAGAATTTTTGCAAGTACGCCTTCATCCTCTAGTTCAAAAGTCATTACAGCTTTGTCTGTTTGTATTTCTGCCAACGCATCGCCTGGTTGTATCTCATCACCTTCTTGCTTTAGCCATTTTACAATCGTGCCTGTTGTCATTGTTGGTGAGAGGGCAGGCATAGGAATATTTTGCCTGGAGGTTATAACTACTTTATTCTTATGTTCTGTCAATTCAGTCAATTATAACCAAATATTTCTGCTGAAAGATCGTACTGGCCAGGTGGTGGTTCTGCTGCTTGAGTTGTGGCTGGAGTGCTCGGTGGTTGGGCAGCAGCTGGTTTATCAACAGATGCCTCGGGAGCTGTCGCACCATCTGGCATCTCTACTGTCTTCCAGTCCTCGTCAATCTCAACAGTGAGAGCTATCAGAGTTCCTACCTTAACATCCTTGGTTCCTTCAGGCACCTGATTGATACACCTTGTGTAATTTATACACACAATCTCTTTCAATGTGAATCACTCGCTGCTATACTCACAATTATCTTTGCTAATATACTTTCATCTTCAAATTCCATCGTAACCACAGCCTTGTCGGTTTGAATATCCGCAACAGCGTCACCAGGTTCAATCTTGTCACCTTCCTTTTTAATCCATTTAACTATAGTGCCAGTTTCCATAGTAGGTGACAAAGAAGGCATCAACATTTCTTTTCCCTTCACTGAAATAACAAATGTCCATATGTCAATGAAAAGATCTAAGAAGACATTGTTGACAGTGTGTACAAATTGAGGAAATTTGATTGCATAATCAAACGAGACATGCATTATTTATACGGAATAATGAGAAATTTAATTCATCAAAGTCTGTCAATTTGATCTTTTTGTATCTTCGTTTATGTTCATATCGAAAACACGATGATGATGACACGACTCCGTCAAACCAGATTTTTCCAATTCAAATGTCTTTCAAAATAACCTCGAAGAGTCGACTAGTGTTGCTAACGAAAGATCACTGTTTCTGAATAAATGTCGTACCGTCGAGGATTCCACTGGTGTGAAAACATAATCGATGATATATTGTGGGTGAGGAGATACGTTGCGCGACACGATTTGCGTATTTCAGTGATAAGAGTACGAACTTGGATCGGATCATGTGCGCCATTTTCGACGTCGAGCTAGAAGACACCTCTCGGTCCGCTAACGACCTCAAACCGATTGACCTCTTTCGTTCGCGTGCACTGATGTGACCACTGTGCGCATCAATGTCAAATGATTCAAAGCTCGTTTTAAAATTCACCACTCGAATCTTTCTTAAGCGAATCGGCTCTTAAGCGTTTGAAACTTCCTTGAGCGATCGCCTTTTGTGCGATGAAATCTTGTTTCGCAAGATGCAGATAAATATTCGTGTAAATTCTTGTAAATTTTCATTCAAGTCAAAATTCAGTCGAGTAAAAATAGCGAAATTCATGAAAAAATCTACAAAAAACTGGCGTACGCTTAAGTTTCCGAGAGAAAGGAAACGGCAACGGTTTCCAGTGTCGCGCGGCAATGATATCTTTGCAGTTTCTCTTACCGAGATCGTCAAACTCGCGCATTGGTCTGCAGCAAGTAACCGATTCCATTTCACCTCTCAGCAAACTCTCAGCCGAATGATCACAACTCAACAAGGAGAAACAACATCCTGTCGGGTTAACGCGTCGCGAAAGCTCAGCCCATTGAAGCTCCACAGACCGAACTTTCGGATTGCGAGGGGGGCGAAAGAACGCAAGGCCGTTGCTGCTTCGTCGTACGATTTTTATTTCATCATTATAACAATAACAGTTCTTGTTCTCGTGTTAATTCGCGTAGTGTCCTGGCCTATACGAATAGAGTATCGCATCGGTGCCGCGCGCGCGTCTGCCGTGGTTCCTGCGAGCCGGTTCGCGCCACCGTTTGAGATCAGCGACGAAACGATATCGATTGCGCGCCGACCGACCGATCGATCGGTCGATCGCTCGCTCGCGCTGCGATTCTCGACGTCGGTACGTGGCGCGCGGCGAACTTCAGTTGCGGCGCGCGATCGCGAAAAGGCAGCCGCTCGTTTTCGCGTCAGTCGTTTCGTCGCGCGTCGCGTCGCGTTATCGCCGCGTACACGATAAAATTGTATTTACAATAATTCGCGTGTCCCGCCGCGCGCGCGATCGCGACGATCGCGGATTGTGTCACACGCGCGCGGGTAATATTATCGTCGTTATAAAAACTTATCTCTACGAACTCGTGGAGGGGAGGGGGGGGGGCCGAGAACGTGTAGAATGCCTAATGGCTAAATCGCCGCGAGTGATACTGCGTGCCACACGGGATTGGACATCTAAAAAACGAAGAAGGGAGAGACACTCAATAAAGGGCGCCGGTCCATCATCGTAACCATCATTAGCATCGTCATCGTCATCATTATTTCTCCAACACCGGGGTGGATACTCGAGGGAGGAGGGGTGAGTCTATAGTCTCTGGGAAATAATGAGTTTCTTCATGATTTCCTGCGTGTGTGTGTGTGTGTGTATGTTTGTGTACGTGTGTGCCGCTGGTGATTATAAAACCCAGATGGCACAGTGTCCTGAGATCACATCTCGGGTCGAGACGGTTTCAGGACGCTCGCCTGGGGAACATCCTGGACACACTCAGGATGATTCCGGAAAGTCTTGCGCTGCCTGGGAATGGAGGAACGCCTCCGCCTCTTTCTTATTATTATTATTATTATTATTATCATTATTACTATTATTATTATCGTTATTGTTGTCGTTATTATTATTGTTATAACTATTATTATTATTATTATTATTAACTGTTCGGTGGTTGCCGGTTTTGTAATTCCTTGTCGACAGCAGCCCGAAAGAAATCTCCCTTTTCCGACGAGCACTAACGCGAGCGAAGGTGTACACTTAAACAAACGCGTGCATAATGCCTATGTCTATGTACAAATTTATTGCGAAGAGAGTGAGGTACAATAAATCTCCAATTTTTCTGCGCCTCAACGCGCGGAGAGATCAGGTAGACAGGCTGATCTGACAGACGCTTCGCACCACCGAAGGGTTAATAATCCGAAATTAATTTCTACAAACAACTGAGACGTTATAGCTATAAAAGCGAGCGCGCAAGCGGTTACCACATTGAGAATATATCTCTCGACGAACGAAATATAAAGGGAAAGAAAAATTGATGCTAGAGAGGGGTACAGTGATCGACGAGACAACAGCTCGACGTAGGCCTGGCTCGACCGGACGAAGGTTCGAGCCGATCGAGCCTGATCCGAACCTCGCAATCTCGCCCGCGGAAATTCGCTTCCGCGTTGACGAATTAAGCCGCCGGTGGATTAATTAATCCGGTCAGATTAAGGGGAGCCAATTCGACCGTGGGCCGAATTCTCCTCCCTGCCGTTCGCGAGACGGTATTTACGCCGGCCGTTACGAACGCATCTCAACGAGAGCGGGTCTCGAGTCCGGTTCGACGAGTCCGGATGAAACCCGGTCGGGTCGAGCGAACGAAACGAGAGGCACGCCGATGTTGCGCGCGAGCGCGTCTCGCGACTCCTTTTTACAGTCAGACTTACGGCCTCGTCGCCGTCGGCGCGCGTTTACCCGCGTTGCTCCGCGTTTCTCGTTCTCCCGAGGACGGCGGCGGTCCGTCGATCGACGATCGACTTCGGTTGCTTCGGTCGCGAGCTCGATCGCTCGTCGCCGGCCGCCGCGACTATTTGGCACACACCTCCGTCCCGCGCGACTCTCTGCGTTACGCAACTCTCTGCTCTAAACATTAAGATGCCATGCTATAAAATGGCCCGTGGCAAATCGCGTACAACGCTAACAGTAACGGGCGTCTCGCAAGCGTGTGTATCATGCGCTCCTTACAATCTAGTTTACACGCTAATCACGCCGCGCTCGGCGAATCCCTCGGGATCCGAGAGCCCCTGTCCCTCCGATAATCGAGTTCGGCGAGTAAGATCCCTATCGAGGCTCGATCTCTCAACGCGCTCAAGGGCGAAATTACACGCGGAGCAAGTCGCCTTTCAACGCTGTTTTCATGAATATTTTTCACAGAAACGGTAGGATCAATGGACTTTTGGAAATTTTCAAAAGTGTACTCACTAATGTTCAAGGTATAAAATAAATTTGTTACTATCCATATGGAAAGTACGCATAAAACTTTAATCGCGTTTATCTGGAAACACCATTTTCTCAAACTGTCGACACGATTACGCAAGAGAAATATTGAACCGAATAACTTGAAATTTTTGCGCAATATACAGTAGACATGCAGTTTTCGCACCTATCTCGAACACAGTTATATTTTATTTTATTCATTTTTTTAAACATGATTACAAGTTGAAAAAAGTTTCATTTTCGATACTATTTTTTTTTACAGTCATTATTCTTCCAAACCTGGCTTCATTTTGCTACGGGCTATAATGGGCAGTCGAACATTTTAAAAATCTTTCTTACTAGTTAGTTTCAGAGTAGTGAGAGATCTGGAATTATGTTGACAGCAAACATAGAGCTCGCAAACGGATGACTGCATTTTTATCTACAATTGCAAATTGGATCGGTTCTTGTGATTCAACCAAATTTATTTTATATTTTGGACGTTAATGAATACACTGTGGAAATTTCAAGTCCATTGCTCTTACTGTTTCTGTTGAAAGAATTCGTAAAAACAGACTCGAAAACGGTCTTCCGCATGTAATTCCCCCCCTTAAGGGCGTCTCGCGCGCTGCGCTGATATATTGATATCTCCCGCGCTCGACTCTCTTCCTTCTCTCCCTGCCTCCAATAACTCGCGACGCTCGCACGTCGCGTCGCTCGAACGACGAGCTCTCGTCCCGCGCCGTTCGAGATCTACGACTTCTGCTGCTGCTGCTGCGCTCAGACTTTGGTGGCGGTCCGCGCGACCGCGTCGCTCGCGGTCATATAAAAGTGCTTTCGCATCGTGAAAATGATTGTACGTAAAACGACGCGCGACCGCGCGTCGGAGTCGGAGTCTTCCTAGTCGAGGAGCACCGAGCGCGTCTCTCCCTCTCCCTCCCTCTCTCTCTCTCTCTCTCTCGTTACATTTCTAAATACATACATCGATTCGAAAAAAGTGTAGAGAACTTTCACGGTTGCGCGCATAGAGACGCGATAAAAGGTTTCCCAAAGTCCGCGCGTCGACGTGAAAATCCGTCGCGCGGAAGAGTGACTTCGTTTTCGTATGCGAGACGTCGGCGGCGGCAGCCGCTCTCGCTCACCCAGCGTCGAATGTAAAAGGTCGGTGTAAAAAAATGACAAGCGGTCGTCGCGAGATCGAGGTCTCTCTCGCTGTCTCGCAGTCTGATATATAACACGGAGAGAGAGAGCGGTGAGCGTCCGCTCCGCTCTCCGCGTCGCACACGGCAAGTGCGGAAATTACAGTCCGTGAGCTTGCAATCGACGTTCTCTCGTGACGCCGCGTCACACGAGCTCCTTAACCGTTTAACGAATATGTCACAGCTACTTTTGTTATCGTTTTATTTAGTCGATGATTATGTACAGTCTCTCGAGGTGCGAATGAAAGAAAGGGCTTGCTCGGTGCTGAGCGCACGAATTCCCGCGCGAGTTTCCTCTTAAACTAAGCGCGCCGGAGAGGAACGTTCCTCCGTGTTTTCTCTCTCTCTCTCTCTCTCTCTCTCTCTCTCTCTCTCTCTTTCTCGCTTTCTCTCGTCCTCGCATTGGCAGTAGGGTTCTTCGCGCTCTTAGGAGCAGCTTACGAATAGTAGTTCTCTCTTTGCTGATAAAGCGGCAAGGGAGCCACGGGTGAGAGGTCCTCGTCGTCTAAGCTCGACTCGGTTTTCAGCGGTAGCGTTGCCAGAGCTTTCACTGTCGGCGAAGCAGATGTTGATGAGATAATTGTGTGGGCAATGAACCGAACGATATACGTTTGCTGAAAGCGAGGCTCGATTGCCCGCGTGAAATAATTTTCCTGTTTCTCTCTTTCGATTAGTCTGCAGGAAGGATCGCAAAAGGTCGCAACTCTCGCCTCGTTTCAGCAAACGTCGACGGAATCTGATCTCACGATCGACCCCGTCTGTGGTGAGCTCGATCGGGGAGAAAAGTAGGAGAGAAAAGACGTGAAAAGAAACAAAAATGAAAAATGATAAACAAACCTGAAAATGATAACGTGACGTGCGTGTCCTATAGAGGAGGAAGGATGGAGTAAGCATGTCAGTCAGTGTGCCTGGTTACCTACACACAAGCACAAACAATCCAAACAACACTCCCTAAGATGAGAAACTATATTCGCTAGAATTTGGCGCGTCTCGAGCTTTCGAAGCCGCAGTAATATTGTAAAACAGCATACACAACTCGGGTGAGGCATGCGTTGCCGCGTCGCACTGTGTGAGAGTGTGTGCGTGTACTTTGCTCGACAGCTGAATAATCGCGTGAAATAAACGCTCGAGAGTCTCGCGAGAGAATGTTTCGGTAAACGGTAGAAAATTATAACGAATAATACCCGTGACGCAGCGTAACATTGAAAACTCCATCGATCTCACACCGATCAAACGGAGCAAAGAGACAAAAGGTGGGTGCTATTCAGAGGTAAAACGAGCTTGGTTTAGTCGTGGTCTAACAATAGAGTATATAAGAAGAGACTAACGACATTTGTACTCAGAGACAATTTTTAATGACTTGGTCTTGTATTAACTCGGCTTGAATTTAAATTACCTGCAAGGGTAGTCCAAGGTTGGTTTAACCCTTAATCGCTACATAGGGCGCACATACACGCCCTGACGTTGCCATTGATCAAGAATTTCTTTCCCACATTCTTCTTTGGCCTTATTGGCCGAACATCTTTTCTCGATAATGTTCTTTCTTTCCTTTCAATCTCGAATCCGTCAGGATTCACACTTCTCCTCTGTGGTCCAATTAACCTTCTTACTTCGCTTTGTTTTATTTCACGTGTCTATTGAGAATAATTCTAGTGTCACAAATTTAAAAAAAAAGCCCTCAAAACGCAAACACGAATCTCAAAAGTCGCGCTTTAACAATCCCTGGTGATTGAATTTCGTCGGCCACGCAGTATCTAAAGATAAACTTTAGACAATTAAATATAGGATCCTACTATGAATACCGCCTGAAGGATTTAATTTCCTTAATTTGGATATCAAATTTAAACCATTTTGAAAACATCTCTGAATAACATCCAGCTCTAGTTTATCTTTAGTCCATAGATAGGCTATTTAAGGACTGGCTAAGCCAGGACTAAAGTAAGATTATTACGGTTGTCTCTGAATAGCACCCAAAAGAGACGATCTTCGAAAGCCACTGTACGAAAGGAGCGCATGCTGCTGCTGCTGCCCGCGGTTCTACGTATTGGACTATTAAAAATCATGCGTAGAACGGTGCATCCGGGCGAGTCGTCAACGTACCCGCTACCATTTTGCTTTTCTCCATCACTTGCTTCGCCAATATCTGATTCAGCTGGAGAATGTGCTCCCGCTGCCGCTTTTCCTCCACCACTTTCCTCTTCAGGGTGTCTGACTTCTCCACATTGGACTCGTCGTCTGAAATAGCACGATCCAGAGACATTCGAATGTCAGAGTATCGCATCATCGCATTGGGTAGTTAAAAGACAGGATGTTACGTACCACCTCCTTCCGGGGCGGTCACGGTCGTCTCCGAGAGCATCTTCCTGATCGCCTCAGCCTTCTTCAAGCGTTGCTGTTGCTCCTCCGCCGTCAATTCCGGCGTCTGGAAAATGAACGAGAGACACCGTTGTGATCTACACAGGGCAATCCATTTGGCTTGTACATGCGTTCAGGCGTTCAGCAGGCGTTCGAATCTACCCGGCTCAAACCGCGAGAACGCGAATTGGAACTTGAAAGAATCGAGACTGGCAACGCCGGCGAGTACCTGTTCAGGAATATACCGCTCGGGGATGACGATTTTGTTGGGCGTGCCCAACAGCTGGTCTATGGTGCTCTCATTGTACTTTAGCTCCTTGTGGCTCAACGTCGATCGCACGACGTCGGGAGCGTTTATCCTCGGTCTCAGCGCTCTCTCCATGTCCAAGTCGTCCCTGGCTCTACCCATGCCCTAAAAAGACGGCCCGAGTCAATCGTGTCCCTCGCGTGCGAGCGTGGGCATGGATTCTCCTCCCAGAGTTGTCAAAGCTGCCACGGCAGTGCGAACGTAGCGCGATGCAGTGGTGAGACGGAGAAGTGAGACGCGCGTAGAGAGACGTGACGTATCCCGTGAACGACAGGTGAGCGGGTGACAACGAGAGAGAAAGAGAGAGAGAGAGAGAGAGAGAGAAAGAAAAAGGAAGTGACAGAAACGGAAATTAAGTGAAAACGAAAAGAGTACCATCTTGGAGAAAGTGTCCTGTAAGTCGAGCACCGGTTTGCTACTAGACACGGTGTAGTGCCGCCTCTTCTCCCGCGGGATCTGCCTTCGTCGCGGCCCTTCCACCCTCTTCTCCGTCATCTCTTTGATTATCTGTTTGGCGGCCTCGCTCTTGAACACCGGCGACAGTTGCGGCGACTCGGACGTCTTCGTGCTCGGCGCGCCCGAAGCGATCGCTGCGATCGCCGTCGCCGGTCTCTCGTGCACGCCAACGTTCGTCGGCGACGTTAGCTCGGGGCTCATCGCGCCCGCGAGGATGCCCGGCGGCCTGATCGACGACGACGCCGCACCGTCGTAGTGCCGGTAAGGCCCGGGCGGGTTGTAGTAATGGTGCGGCTGCGCCGCGGCGGCGGTTTGCGGCGGGTAACTCGGATTCTGGCTCGGGCTGTACGACGACGTGGTGGAGTAGTTGGGCGAGCTCATCGCCATGTGAGAACTGGACGTGGTACTGTCCGTGTACGGCGACAAAGTGCTATCGGAGCTGCCGTCGTGACTTTCGAACTGCGACGGTCGTCGAAATAACAAAAAAGGAAGAAAAAAGAAAATGTAATGCGAGGAGCGAAAGGGATCCAAAACGAAAAACGGTCCGGGTGGGGGGCGAGAGATGCGAGCGGGTGCCAGATGCTCAGGGTGGAGTATGGTCGCTGATGATACCCGTGCTTTCACTATCGAACAAGCGCGAGGACTATTCGCGAAAGTGAGGCTTCGGCTCTGCGAGGGGGAGGGCAAGCCTGAGACTGTCGCGTCGCCTATGACTTACCCTGATTTTGTGCCGTCGTGCCATCATGCTCTTCAGGGCGTGCATGCTGTCGCTGCGCGGTGGAGGGACCACCGGTCCGTAGTGCACCCCGGAGTGCTGCTTTTGCCCGCCGAAACCGCGCGGGAGGGACATGCTCCTCTGGAACTGAACGTCGTCCAGCTCGGACAGCTGAACCGTGCTTTGAGCGTGGACGATCGGCGACTCTTCCACCACCCTGCCCAGCTGCGCTTTCTGGACAAGCGAGAGGATTGGCGTTAGCGAGAAAATCAATGTCGAGCCAATAGCGCTCTTTTGTAACATTCAACGTCGCGGCAACAACGCACCGTCGTTCAAGGTTACAGAAGACCTACAGAGATCCACACGTTTCCGCATGATTCACAGCGAAACGAAGCGCCCGAGAGATTACAAGCTACAAGAGAGACAGCTAATATCACTGCAGCGCGTATCGATTCACCTCGAATTTTTGGGAGCCTCCCAAGTCATCGTCGCACAGTCTCTTGGCACCACCCGGTGCCTGAAGGCCGTTCGTCAGCGGGATCCCAAGGTTGCCGGTCCTGTCGCCGCGGTCCCTCTGTCGTCTCTCCGACTCGCGTTTCACTATGCGCACCGTCTTGATCTCTTGCTTCTCGCGATTGTGCATCAAACCTTCGGGGGGGGGGGGGGGACAGAGCGACGGAAAGAGAGAGAATGAAACTTCCAAATGTCGCGTCTCAAAGTTCCACGTGTTCCACCGCCGAAGAAGCGGCAGGACGACTTACCGGCGAACTTGTTGTCCTCGTTCTGTCTGTAATTGTCATTCAACAGCAGTGCCTCCTCGCTCAGCGGTGGCGGCGGCGGCGGCGGGATGTATTCCGGAGCGGGATTTGGCGCGCCGTTCAGCACGCTTCCGTTGTGCTTGCTCGTGTCGGTGATGTAATCACCTGGAATTGAGGAGAGTGAGAAATCGGTGCGAATGAATATTTCACGCGTACATTTCATCATTGTGTCGCAGCTAACATGCGCCAACGTAGCGCCGATGTAGCTTCAATTATTAGCTACATTGACTCGTCGCTGGGAGCCGTCTCCTCGCTACGACGAATTAACGGAGAAACGTTCCTCACACACTCACCCGGCACCCTGGAGTCCGTGTTGACGTAGAGAGGCGCCACTTGAATCGTGCTGCCCTTGCCCTGCATCTGGTCCTTCAGCAGCTGTTGCTTCAATTGATGTTGCTGGATCTGCTCGCGCAGCTGCGGCGACAGCGCCGATATGTGATTCTGCGAGGGCTGCGCGTAGGGCTGTTGATTCGGATGGCGACTCAACGGCGACGAGTCTTTGTATTGCGTAGGCGAGCCGTAGCGTTGGTGAGGATTGTCGTTGTGCTTGCTAGGAGGCGACGCGGACAAGGGCGGGCTCGACGACGAGTCCAGGCCGTGGTCCAGGGTTATTCCGGAGTCCAGGTCGGTCTCCAGCCAGGAGTTCTGCGTGCGCTTCTTCGGGTGGTGCACCTGCGGGGCTGGGGAACGATCCTTCGTTAGTCATATCGTCATCCTCTCTCTCTCTCTCTCTCTCTCTCTCTCTCTCTCTCTCTCTCTCTCTCTCTCTCTCTCTCTCTCTCTTTCTCTCGCGTTATTTCTAACACCGTTACCGTTGCACACTACTTGATGTTATTTTTCTCGTCAATAACGGTACAATATTCGATACAAGCGATCGCATCTTTTGGAAGCTAGGCGTCTCCCCGATGATGAGACATGGTTGAGCATTAGCAACGGGCATTGTATCGCGGAAAAGAGAGTCTTCAAAAGTCGGTGGAAAGGATTGCGAGAATTACAACGACTCTTCTCGAGCAACGGCCAAGGTAACGAGTTGGCTCTTCCACGGGTAACGAGTAACATTACGTACACTGTGGATTTTACAGATTTTAACCCTTTGCATTCGGAGCCATCTCGCGGGTTACCTATCAGCAGCTCGGCGGCACCTTTTTAGGAAAATGTGCAAACAGAAATCACGTCATATTAAATAGCGTGGTTTTGAAACCAAGTAATTTATTGTAATGATATTTGGTTTATGTGAATCTTCAGACATTGAGGAAAATATTTATGACGAAACAATCAGAATTTTATATCTTATATTTTTCTAACGTGTGGTAATGTGTGCGAAACCGAGTCACCGATATGCATTACAGGTTCGTTGATACATGTTGCACAATAGTAATTTGTTTGGCGTCTTTCACCCGCTGTTTTTCTGAGCAGACAATGCAGTTTTCTTCCTCCTACATTGAGAATATGTAATTTATCGTCAAGTTTGTTCTCTTTCTACGTAACACCGGCTGATACTTTTTTCACATATGTCTCAGTATATATACCATATTTTGATTTGGTTTTTCGTGACGTTTGAATAAAAACTTCAAGAAAACACATGCGTTTTTGCAAAATTTGCGCTCGCACGAGTTTATCCTGTATAATTACTAATAAAGTAATCTCCTCAGAGGGGACATCCGAGCGCAAAGGGTTAAAAAACAGCTCTCGCCACTCTCCGGCAGATTCTTCTCATATCGGTAATTGATGTGAAACCTGATCGGACTGCTTCGAGCATCCCAATACGATTGCGGAGGGCATCGATCAGCCAGCGCAACGTGCCGCAGCTGGACAGTTCCGGGAGGGGGAGGGGGGCAGTTTCCAACTGTCCCGACGCGTTATGTAGCTCCGCTGCGCGGCACCAAGACTCACCGTGCGCGGCCTGCGGGCGTATTTGCTGCACCAAACTGTGCGATTTCTCCGTCAATTGGCGAACTTGAATGCTCAGTTCCTTCCGCTGCCTCTGCAGGTCGCCCACGAGCTGCTGCACTCGCCTTAGTTCCGCCTCCAATGGCGCGGTAGTACTCGAGGTGTCTCGGGTTATGTTGCCGGCGTATCTGCGGGAAGCCTGCAGCTTCTGCCTGAGCACGACCAAGTCCTGCTCCAATCTCGCGTTCTCCGCCACCGTTTCCTCGAGTTTCTGCAAGCACGTCGACACGTCGCTGGTCATTAAAGCGGACGGGTGATTCGAGCGATAAGACGATCGCCGCCGACAAAAATGGCAACTAAATGGCGAACGACGGAACTGAAAGCTATAGTGTGGTGAATGGTGTAATTTACCTGGAAGAATACCGGCTTTACCTGGAAACAGTGAATCCCAGCTTTAAATCACTCTACGTAATAGGATCTATCTCTCGCGAACGTGGCGATTCTAAATTCTCGCGTGCTCCCATGTTCCCTACACGTAATTCACGTTGCGAAGGATCGACTTCAGCAACTCAAGGACAACAAAACTGAGCAGAAGCGCGAAAGAGTGATCGACGTAAGAGGCGAGGAAGAAAGTTCTCCAACTGTCGTTTCGCTCAATTTTCATCGGGAAAATGATGGGCGCTGTCTCTCTCTCTCTCTCTCTCCCTCTCTCTTTAATCGGAGAATCTGTTGTTAATTGGAACGTCGGAAAGTAATGACGCACGTCCAACACTTTGGCGACTACCAGGACCGAGAAAAAACGCAAAAAAAAAGAAAAAAAACGCAAAACGAACAAAGATGACGAGCGGCGATTATTCGCATTTTGCGAAATTCCGGCTGACACGCAATTTGCTTGTTTTTCTGCCAATCAGTCTCCATCGTTTTTAATGGAATCGCGCGAGCGCGCGACATTGGATGGAAACGCGTATTAGCGGCTGTCAGGTACGCTTCGAAATGTCTACCTTGGAGTTGTGAGCGAGCAGCACTCGCACCCTGCTCAGTTCGCGCTCCAGCAGGAGCTGCTGCTTCCGATATCGCTCGGCCTCGGCCAAATTGCTCCTGCTGCCTTGCAGTTTGTGCCGCAGCCCGCCCAGAGCCTTCTCCAGTATTTCCTGCGAGCATGAAATGCGGCGATGCGTGTGATACCACAGAGATTTTTTCTATATCCGCGATGCACAGGACGAGCGACGTCGCCGCGCATCCGCGGATGTACAGGACGTTCGTCCTGTCCGCGGCCGAGTATCGACTCTTCGCGCGCGAAAATTCCCGGACGAAACGGGATGGATATTCTCGTGCGGACGAGAGTGACGTCGCGACCGAGGGACTTTTCGGGCTCGTGGTATTCCGTCGAGGCGAGAGAAAATATCGTTGTCGTTCCGCTGGAATTGTCTTCGCGAGTATATCGCGGAACTTTCTTTCGAGGGAAACTCGCCGCTTTTTTTTGCCGCTATATTCGCCGATCGAGCGTGACATTCTCGTTTACGTCGAGCGATGTCCAACTTCGAGGAAATACGCGGAATTTTTTCGAGGAAATTTTCCAATCTTCAAGGATCCCGCTTTTTCTCTCTCTCTCTCTCTCTCTCTCTCTCTCTTTCTCTCTGAAATACCGTCGTCGTCATTGTTGTGACATGGGCGTCGATACCAACCTTGTCTTGTTGGAGACTGTGCAGCGTGCCAGATTCCTCTTGAAGCAATCGATCCAGTTTGTAGAGTTGCTGCACTTTGGCCTGCGACATAGAAAGGCTACCGAGTGAACTACGAAACCTTGAAGTTTCGCTGCTCAGTCGAGCAGGGTTGTAGTGTTTCAACCGTAACGAGTCTCGGGGAAAGAGAGAACGGCCACAGTTAATACTAGAACAACGTGTACCTCTCTTCTATCCCGGCGTTTGTCTCTGCCAGGCTTCCGACCGGGCATTTCTTAGTCGCGCGTCAAAGAGAAAATGTGCTTTTCAACGATATTTCACTAGTTTCAGTAGCTTCGGATCTCTCGAAAGGGACAAATTAACCTTTCGCGACCTAATCACGACGCAGGTGCGCCCGTTCGAATTACAAGTCACTGCCGATGTGAAATCAGTGACATCCGATCAGTCGTAAAAAATCACCGTCGACAGGATCAATCGAGGAAAGCTATGACGCGACGAGAGGAATGTCATAATCGGTTGAATAAGAGAGACAGGCGCGCATGTCGTTTCATCTGAACATACTCGCGTGCGCAAAGATTCGTCGCATATTTAATAACGACCCGTACAAAAACTTGTTAGGACCATCCTCATGAAGTATAAGGCCCCGATAAGGCTGAAAATAAGATGCCCTAAAAAGAATGTCTCATTATTATCACATCAGATCCCGAGATGGATCTTTTAGGGATACCTTAGATTTTACGAAATAAAACTTTGATAAGGAAAATTGATGAGGGTCTCAGAAGGATTTATTAGAGGTGCCTTAAATTTAATAATAAATATAAGACTTTGATAGGGAAAACCGATAAGGACCTTAGAAAGATCTTTTAGGGATGCCTTAGATTTTACGCTTTAACATGGAAAACTAATATGGGCCGTAAAAGGATCTTTTAAGAGAGAATGCTTTAGACATACAAAATTAAGTTTTGTGTCATAGAAAATTAATAAGATCTGAAGCATGTAATAAAATTGTCATAGTTTAGTATTGTTTTAGTAGGTACGCTCTATCCGGCTCTCTTAAAGATTTTTTTAATTGCACCGCAATTAAAAATAAATTTTATTAGTTTTATTAGTTGCCATATTCATTAGTCTCTTCCAAGAATTTTTCTAGTATTGCCTTCGTTTTGAAATGCAGGAAACTTTAATATAAACAGCAGCAGAATTTTTATGTGTAAAGAATACTAGATTTTATCGTAAAGTATGCTATATTTTTAAACTAAAAAATTCTTGTATACTAACAAAGTTATGAAGAAGTTATAAAGAAATAAAGAAATTACAGTCTAAATTTCTTGGAATGAAAAGACCAAATATTTTTACTCGAGCAATAATAAAAATATTTCTTTACAAGACCCTCATTATTATATTGCCTTATAAGGACTCGTTAAACCATTATTATTACACATCTTGCAAGCTACCCTTGTCTTTCTATCCCTACTAAGGCCCGATCAATGTTAGGTAAAAATAATCAGACCCTTACCAGAGTCCTATTAATTCTTCTACTCGGGGGGAAAGACGCGCGCGCTTGTTGATAAAATATTAAATTTCCTGTCGCTCGCTTCGAGGGTGCTCACGGTGAAAATTTCGACGAGGAGCTTTGGTCGACGTGATAAGAAGGAAACGAGAAATAAGATACGAAGTGGACACTGTCCGCGGAGACTCGACTCGGCCCGGCTCGACTCCACTCGAGAGAGTGTATATCCCTCGGTAAAGTAAGCCCTCTCTCTCTCTCTCTCTCTCTCTTCTCGTGGAATTTACGAGGGGTCGTAAGTGTCGTCCGAGTTGAGCGCCGGCGGTCGCGGCTGCTGCTCGTCCTTAATTTTTGCACGTGGTTTTTCCTGCAATCGGCTTCCGACGCAGTCACGAGGGATGATGCGCTGGAATTGCCTCCGCCGGTCGCAGGGAATTCCGGAGCGTCGCTCACGACGCGGATGCGATACGTCCTGCCTAGAGCACAGCCGGGTCTCCCTGGGAACGCTGCGACGGAGGATGGCAGCAGGAGAGACCGAAACACGCGCCCGCGCGCGTCTTGCGAGGGAGATAAAATCGATCGAACGTAAACACGCTCCGTCGTGAATATCAAGCGCGAAGCGAGCGAGCGAGCGAGCGAGCGAGCGAACGACGGAGAGCGAAACACACTCGAGGGCTGGAAATTCGCGATCGAATCGCTCACCTGCAGCTGCCCGTGATCCGGGCTCAGCCGATCCCAGTCCCTGCGCTCCTCCGCCAGCAGCCGTTGCTCCTGCACCCTCTGGTTGAACTCCAGACGGTCGCGGTGATCCCTCGCGTTCTCATGCATCGGATCGTGCCGAGAGCCGGGAGCGTTGCTGGTCCCGTTGGCAGTGTTGCGGTTGTACAGGGAGCCCAGTTTCACCATGTTGTCCACGAGGTTCACGAGAGGCTTGCTCTTCTCGTACTGCCAGCGAGAAAGCAAACGCCACGGTCAACGTGTCTCTCTCTCTCTCTCTCCCTCTCTCCCTCTCTCTATCTATCTATCTATCTATCTTTCCGTCTTCGCGCACATTCTACCGCTCTCCTCTCTTTTCTCTTTTCTCTCTGTCTTATCTTTTTTTTCGGTTTTTGCTTTTTACCGTTTTGCGCGCGCGCGCGCGCTCCTCACCTGCTTCTCAAGATCCATCAGGTGTCTCTTGAGTTCCTCGAGCTTCTGAAGATTCTCCAGCCGTCTCGGCGTGTCGAGCTCCGCCAGTCTAGCCTGCGGACGCACAAAACACACGGAACGTTTATTTCGTCTGGTCCGTTACTGCTGCCGGCACGGGGCCGACCTCCGTCTCTGGCACGGCGATTTAGCGCGCTAAATCGGAAGTGATACCGTGACACACCTCGACAGCTCGTGCACGTTCAGCTGTGCCAGGACACGCGACGCGACAACGCAACGGACACGCCGCGGAGGAAAAGCGTACTCTACGACCTCGACGCGGGTCATGGTTACTGCTCGCGTCCCGAATCCGTTAACACGATCCGACTCGTCGATGGAGTCGGGCCGCGTGACGACGACCGGGCCGGGTCGGATTCGAGTCTGTCCGAGCCTCTCGAATCGGAATCGGCGGCCGAGTGTTTGACGTCGAATGCGGGACGCGAGCGCCAACACATCGCATACCGGACGATTCTCATCTACTCGATTACGACCGCTGCGCTTTCATCAGCAGTCCGCCGAGTCCTCCGTTGGTCAAGCCTGCCTCGTGATTTGCGCGCGAGCGTATGTTACATGCCGTCGACGAAGACTGCGTGATCGTCGCGTGGATTCGCAGTCCGAGTGCACCTACACACAGCGGTCTAAATTCTAACACATCCTGAAAGATCTCGTCAAACCGCACGGTCGTCCGTCGCAGCGAATCACCTCGCCCTCTTTCTCTCCCCCTCTCTCTCTCTCTCTCTCTCTCTCTCTCTCTCTTTCTCTCCCTCTCTCTCACTCTCTACAAAGCGATCGGTCTGAAAAGCAGCGCTGCCCTCAAATTCGCCATTCAAAGCATCACACCGCGTCCTCGTGATCGTCCAGAGCGCTTCTAGGTCCGCGAGCCTACAGTAAGCCATCGTCATCGTTTGTGGATATTTCCGTCTAATTACTGTGTGAAAAACTTCGCGAGATCGCGCCTATACAAGCTCTCTCTCTCTCTCTCTCTCTCTCTCTCTCTCTCTCTCTCTCTCTCTCTCTCTCTCTCTCTCCCTCTCTCGCTCTTCGGACCTGCGCCTCGATCTCCATGTGGCACGTCTCCATCGCCTTGAGGACCGTCGCGTTCTGCCGTCGCAGCTGGATTAGCAGCAGCACCAATTCCTCGTGGGTCCTGCCGAGGAGCTCGCCGGCGGACACGCGCACCAGGCCGGAAGCGCCAGCTTGCGTCACCCTGCCGCCAGCATCCGCTCTCTGGGAGCTGACGTTACTCTGTCGAGGCATGCAATCGTCAGTTAGGCACACACGCACAAACAACAATCACGCGCGCGCGGGTTACGCGAGCTATCACGGTCGTAATGTGGGACGCCTGACGCCGCGAGGACACCCCAAGGACCTCGCGACGATGTCGTCTAGCGGGGAAATGACACGCCGCTGCCGTCGTCTCAGTCGAGGTCCTCAGCGGCGACGCGACGTTACAGCCGTAACAGGGCGGTGGGAAATTCGCCCTTTCCGCTTCTCCGTTCTTCCTCCGTACTATCTCTATCTCCCTCGCGCGCGATCGTTCATTTTCGCAAGTTAGTTACTTCGCGGTGTTCTCGTTGGATATTCGATTACCTCTCTGCCCATACGGAGGAAATTTGTCTCTCTCTCTCTCTCTCTCTCTCTCTCTCTCTCTCTCTCTCTTTCTCTCTCTCTCTCTCTCTCTGCGAGAGAGAGTCGCTCGAAGAAATGACTAGGGGCGATTAATTCTGCCGTGTCACAATTACTCGCAGCATGTGCGGAGTGTATATATAGGTGTGTACGTGTGTGCGTGCGTGTGTGTGTGTGTGTGTGTGTGTGTAGATTTGATTGGCATGGGAGAGGAGAAATACATCCTGTTATCGTCAGCAGTGTCTGAAGGCGCGCTTGAAATTAACATCGCCGCGGCATAATGTAGACGCTCTCGAAGCTGCCGCACAATTGCGCGCAATTAATCCCCGCTAAGATATCGCGCGAAAATCGCCGGGCGCGATGCCGAATCGCTCGATTCGGTGAGATCTTTCAGAATATGCGGCAGAAGAGGGCTGGCGCATACGAAACCTGTCGGGGCGATTTCTACCGGGGCGCAAACGGCTACTCGTTACGACAAGCCGCGCGCGGTACAGTATCCACCAAATCGCAACAGCCCGAGGTCGAGCGACGGCAGGTGGAATTGAATTACGAGCGTTTGTGCGAGCGGCATATACACGTTCCGTTCGTTTCGTACCGCTCACAGATGCACGCGCGCGCGCGCGCGCGCGAGGAGCGCGCACGAGAGATTGATAAAACGGCCGGGCCCCGCAACTATAGCCCGGCACGAATCCCGCATAAATGCGAGAAATGGAAAAACGCGGCGAACCGCATTTGCCGGCCGAATTAGGTGCTCCGTTTGACAGTATTGAAATTTCAGCCGATGCGGTTTTATGTCAGTCGACCGCGACTGCATACACAAACTTTTTAACTGCGCGCGCCGGAATTTCTCGGCGATAAACCGGAGCGTGCGCGCCCGCAAGGATTACCGGCTCACTCACTCTCTCTCTCTCTCTCTCTCTCTCTCTCTCTCTCTCTCTCTCTCTCTCTCTCTCTCTCTTCCTTCTCTTTCCGCCAGGCATTTTACATTCGTCGGGCCGCTTCGTGCGCCGAGACCGCTACGTTTTAGTGGCTCTCGCGGTCGAATTTGCGGCAACTTGAGAGAGAGGTGCGCGCGGCCTCTCGTTCAAACTCTCGCGTAATACGACGGGAAACAATGCATCGAGGGCCGACAATCGCCGGTTGAAACAATTCGTTTGTTATTAGCGACGCGCGGCGAATCGGACGGGCGCGAGCGGCGGCGATGATGAGCGAGGAGCGCTGTCGATACGAACATCGCGCGATCGCTCCTTCGTAAATGCCGCGGCGGCGTATTTGGTACGGCGTTTATTTATACGGCGACGTCTCCGTCGCTGATCGATAAAGATCAGCGAGTGTTTATTTCAGATCGTGCGAAAATAACGCCACGCTCGGCTTGGAAATCGCGCCGGCTGCGTCGCGCGAAAACACCGCGGCCGCATTTAACGTGTTACCCCTTCACTCCCTCTGTCCCTTTGCCCCTTTTATTCCCGCACTTTCTCGCTTTTTCCGTCATGGCGGCCACTTTCGGAGATGGTGTCGTGCTTACTTGTACGTAACGTCGCGACTCAAAGTAAGTCGGCGAAATTGACTCGAGCGGCCGCGGGCGCCCTTATCGCTGCGCCGTCGTAGGAATTCTTAAAAGTCACGGGGAATCGAGAGAGAGAGAGAGAGAGAGAGAGAGATGGGAAAGAATGGGAGAGAATGGGGTCTACTGCAATTTTCTAATACAAGGCGCGCTCGCCGCCGGAGGAGAATGCGTAAAAATTCTCATCAACACACTCACATGAACGAGCACGCGCATGCACACACACACACACACACGGTCGCGAGTGCAGCGAGGAGAAATCTCGCCCGATAAGCAACGTACGAAATCCGGGGGACTCGGGATCGATCGTGAATGCGCTTTGGTCTTCCTTATCTCCACTCAGCGACAGGTCCCAAAAGGTAAAAGCCCGCTGGCTGACTGACTCGTTCTCGATCTTGCCATTTCACGAAAATTCCTTTTCGATCGTCAATGATATCCTCTGCGATCTCGACGTCGTGTCCTTTCTCGCCGGGTATTCCTGCGAGATCCACAGATCGTTCTCTCGTCGCTCGAGGAACTCTCGACGCTCAGCCAGTCCCGAGTCTCTCGCTTTGCGAAATACAGCGAAGCGAAGCTCACATTCGCTAAAAAGAGAGAGAGAGAGAGAGAGAGAGAAGGGGGGAAAGAGAGACATTGAAGACCTTGCGGAAAGCCGGCTGATGTTCAGACGCATTGCGCGTTGCGACGTTCTCCAGCGCTTCATGAAGCTTCATCTCAGCGGCAGCAGCAGCATCGGTGTCGACTCTTGTAGCTCGCACTTTCGCGCGTGGTCGCTCCATGCAATCTCGTAATTACAGATTACGAGGCACGATTCGTGTCTCTTCTTACAGCCAGCCTTTCTATGAAGCCTTGCAACGCTGAGACGCGAGACAGACGCGTTCGCTCGTTCGGCCGACAACGCGCGCACGCGCGCGCGCGCGCGCGCACGGGAAAGCTCGGTCTCGGCAATCCGACAAAAGGACGCCGTATTTAATATTCCCAGGCGATCGTACGTGTATTCGGCGCTTTTACGAGACCGCCCCCGTGACTCACTTCCCGCGGCCTCCAAATCTCAAGTTCCAGTCGACTACGGTCGCGCGATCGGAGCTACTCGACTTGAGCTCGAATCTCGCCCGCGGCGGCGGCGGAGTCTCTCGTCGCGCTGCCTCGTACCTGTTCTCGAATGCACCCGAATGTCCTCGGATCGAAATCCCCTCGCCGGACGGCCTTCGCCCTTGGACGATCCGGCCGTTCCCACGGAGACGCTCCGGTTGCTGGCGAAATCCAGCGGAGATCCAGCGAGTGCGTGAGGAAGAGCTCGCGCGCCTCTCGCGGGCCGCAGGACTCTCGACGCGATGGCGCGCGATGACCGAACGACGCGCGGGAGTACCTGGCTGAAGGACTTGGGCCGACTGGCGTCGTGCCCGGCTCGTGATCGGCTTGCTCCCTCGCTCGTTCGGCCGAACGACCCAACGAACGACCGAGTGAGAGCGGGCGGGCGCGACCGGTCGGTCGGCTGCACACGGTGCATCGTCGGCCGCCTCGGCTGGCTCGCCCGGTGCCGGCGGGCGTTTTGTACCTTTTGCCCCGGTGAGGCCCGGTCGCGACCACACGCGGGTATGCTCGCCGACAAAAGTTTCCGCAGCGCGCCTTCTCCTCCTCTCGCGCTCTTCGGCTCTTCGCCCGACGCCTCTTGTTCTCGCGCCGACGACGACGAGAGCGGGGACGCCGCTTCGAACGCGGGTCCCCGTGTTAACGCCGTCGATCGATCACGCCGTGGACGACGGCAACGACGGGGAGACAGGGAAAGGGTGTTAACGGTCACGTCTCTCGCGGAGATATTACGCGGTCGCATTCCGAGGTGGATCGCGCAGAGTTCGCAGCCGCCGATTGATCGGCGGGGCTGAGGGAAAAATCGGCGACCTGAGGCTCGCCACGACGATGTCCGCTCGGAGCTCTCGACGCTTCGCTCTCACGTCACAGTAGGCTGTGGTTCCTGTGGTTCCACCAGGAACGCGCTGATATATCAGCGCGTCCACTGAACCTCCGTGACGCCGAGGAGTCACGGCGAGGTCGTCGTGAGAAAGTCCAAGACTAATGTCGCGCGACGTCGGTTGTGCACGCAGCTTTAGGCCTGTCTGCAGTTCCTTGGCACGGTGCCCTTGCTGACCGATGCTGACCGTATGCAGGATCGACCCTGGACCCCGCTTCTCAATTCTCTTTTCCTTTACCTCGCTAGAGTCTCGGTCGCGCTCCCCTTCGCTTGTCTTCTCTCTCTCTCTCTCTCTCTCTCTCTCTCTCTCTCTCTCTCTCTCTCTCTCTCTCTCTCTCTCTCTCCCCCCCCCTCTCTCCCCTTCTCCCTCCCCCCTCTCTCTCTCTATCTCTCTCCCTCTCGTTCTCGCCCTCGCGCTCCCGCCCCACTTCATCTTGATCCTGCCGCTGCTCGCTGCCCGCGTCGTGGCTCTCCATTGTATGTAATGGCGCCAGGACGACGACACTCGGGTCGTTACTTTCTTGCCCCCTCAAGATAGGGCCGCGTTAAGAGAGCGGGTCCGTTCGAATTCTCGCACGAAAAACTTCCTTTCGAGCCAACTCGACGGCGACGGCGACGGCGACGGCGACGGCGACGGCGACGGCGACGACGACGACGACGACGACGACGACGACGACGACGACGACGACGACTATCGCGGGAGAGCCGGTGAAATCGTACTTGAAGAATGCCGTCTAACAGGATTGTTTGTAGCGCAAACTGTGTAAATCGCCGGTGTAGTCGCGGCGTTACTGCCGCGATGACGACGACGACGATGTTGCGCTCTCTGCATACTGAAGGAACGATCGTCAAAAGTCAAAGGTGGCCGCGAGCGGGCCTAATGCTGCTATTATTGAAGCCAGTGTTGTTCCCCGATGCGATGGAGTCGAGTCCTTCCACGGAGCTTTGGGCTCTCCAGCTCGTTTCCAGCACCGAACTCGCGTTTAGCTCCGTTTAGACCCGATCGCGACCCGTTTCGTCTAACGGTGCGATAACGAACACGATCTGTTGCGCGAGACGCGTTAACGCAATGTTATCGACACACATACACACACACACACACACACACACACACACACACACACACACACACACACACACACACACACACACACACACACGAGCAGCTCAACCACCCGTCCCGATCGTCCTCCGCTCGGAGAACTCGGAAACTCGTCGACGGGTGTTTCGCGGCTGCAGCGTGCGCTGTACACATGACGTGGTGCAAAAGACGTTATCAATCTGGTACACATTGAAACGCGACACACACGAGTCGTGTGCGAGTGAGATGTGCGAAGGTGCCGCAGGCTCTTTCTACCGATCTCATTCTCTTCTCGTTTGGCACCGCGGGGCGGGCGGCGTGGAATTCGAGCTAAGTGGAATTTTTACACATGCTTTACGGTGATGATGCGAGCTACGTCGATGCCCCGACGATGAAACGAACAGACAGCGTGCCTTGCGTGACGGGGACACAGGGAGAAGACAATTAGACAAAGCAGCGAAACGACGGGACGTCGATTGTGCAACACGTCGTCGCGCAAGAATCCGCCGCTCGGATCGCTCCCGACGCGAGCGACGCTCGGGCTTTCTCTCTCCGGATCCGCTCCGACGATCTAAATTCCGCGCGCCGCGCCGCGCCGCGCCGGCAGAAAAAGGCGCGCGGAGAGAATAGAGAACAGCCGAAAAACACGGGCGCTCATAATTCTGCGCGATCGGCCGCGTCGCGTCGAGCGCGCGGCGCGTCACCGACGCGTCACAACGGCGACCTCGTCGACGGCGAGGCTGCTTCAAACGTCGGCACACAAACGTACACACGAGAGAGAGCGGCGGCACTTTTCACGCGGCGCCTCCGCTCGTAAATTCGCCGCTCGCGGCGGGAACGATCGCACCGTGACGCGGTTTAATTATCGCGACGGGGTTGCACGATCGATGCCGCGCGCGACTGCGATGCTGGCCGCGCGCGCGAATTTCCTCTCTCCATCCATCATGCTCTGCCATGCCAATCGAATCGACGGGCGCGATGTTAAGGCGACTCTTCGTCGCTCGCTCACCCTTTTATGCAGCAGCTCGTTGCAGTCCCGCGCCCGTTGCTGCTGCTGCTGCTGCTGCTGCTGCTGCTGGCCTTGCCGCTGACCCGCCGTCGCGCCTCCGCCGCGGTCGACTTCCCTGCCGATCGGGCTGATCATTTTTCTCTCGCCTGCGGGGGAAGAGGGTTAAGAGCTGTGAGTATCTTGCTGAAATGCTGCGCGTCCCTCGCGCGAAATCTATCTATGGCTGCCGAAGAGGAAGCCGCGTCGCAACGGACGGGGGTTACACACCCTCTGTCCCAAAAATAACTACGGACTAGCTTAGAAAAAAAAGAAAAAAACAAAAATGTGAAAGAAATCTTGACAAAAATCATTTTATTTATTCGAAATATTCTCCCTCGGTAGAAATACAACGATTTGCACGTTCGAGAAGTGCATCAAATGACACTTTTATGTCGCTGGTTCGAATGGTGTTGAGATTGGCTCGTCGTTGACCGTTGAATGTCTTCGATTGATGCAAAACGGTTGCCTTTCACCGCCAAATGCAGCTTAGAGAATAGAAAATAGTCGCAGGGTGTGCCAAATCGGATGAATACGGGGAATGTCGAAGTAATAAAATTTGATTTTTTGCTCAGAAAATCAGTGACAATTGACGAACGATGAGAAGGTGCATGAATCGTGCAACAATCGACCGAGATATCAAATTACTGTCACTTAAATGCGTCGTATCTTGGCTCCTAGTGAACGAAATGTCATGAAATATCTACAGGTAATTAAGGAAGGTTGACACTTCCTAACTCAATCTCCTACCAATAGAAGACGCCACTAATTTCGTCAAAATAGAGCCTTCCGGTTATTTTTGGGATAGAGTGTATGAGCGAAATGAGCGGAACTGTTGTGATATTTCTCTTTTCCTCCCTCTCTCTCTCTCTCTCGTTCTCTCTCTCTCTCTCTCTCTATCTTTTTCTTGTTCTCTCCGTCTCTGTCCGGTCATTCCGCCAGACTTTGCGAGTTCAGGCGAACACAGGCGAGATGAGAATACCGCGAAAACATTCAAGCAACGAGTCGGCAGATCGACTTTCTCGTTAATTACGTTGATGACGGTCGTTTGTATTTGCGCGTCGACGCGCCGGAACAACCGCAGCCGCTTAGTCTCGTTGTAAAAGGTGCATTTCACCGCGCAAAGTGCCGATATCGATATCCCGCCGCTGATTTAGCCTAGAAAAGGATTTGCGAAACCGGCATTTTGCGAAGGAGACTCAACGGTCGCGCGTCGACGTTCCCATCTCGCCAATTACGCGACGCGTCTCGTTGATCAAGCTGCCGGATGCTGAACGAATGAACTTTGCACGGGACTTTGAACGGACCTTGGCGGCTCTTTCGAAAGAATTGCATTTTTACTCGCGTGCCGATTACCATCGCGGGCAATGGCGCGGCGCGGCGCGGCGCGGACTGCGTCGTGTAAGATATTCAGGCGAAAATGTTTCGCTGCTGCGACCGTTAGATGCGTCGTAAAACGCGAGAGAGGCACCACGGACCTCCGTCCAACGCGGAAAATTGCGCGGCTATTGTAGAGAGATGGAATCGGATCGCGCGGAATAGGAAGATTCTTGGCGGACCGTGGCATTTAGGAAAACCGCGAACGATCTTCTCCATTTTCTCGGAAGGTAATATTTACCGAGAGAGAAAGAGAGCGAGAGAGAGAGAGAGAGAGAGATAGAGAGAGTGAGAGAGAGAGAGAGGGAGAGGGAGAGAGGAAGAGAGGGAGAGAGAACTATCCTCCGCATCTGTGCGCCCGAGATAAAGTCACTATATATTCTTACAATTTTCCCGGCACCCGCGCGTGTGTCATACCTTACGTGCCGCGTAAAAAAAGAAAAGAAACGACGGAAACTGAGCGAGATTCGAAAATCGCATCTAAGAGAAGGGAAAAGCGGAACAAGAGAAAACCAGCGAGCGAGAGGGAGAGAGAAAGAGCGAGAAATTATTTTGAAGCTCGACGGAGAAGAAAGCTAATACTCATCCTACTTCCCCTTCTTCTATGTATTATCCAGCGTCGACGTTCAGTTGATTTTTCCAGACAAACGCCCGCTGTCGCAGACTCGTCGCGTCTCGAGGCAGGGAAGGGAGAAAATTCAGGAAATAAGAAAAAGAGAGAGAGAGAGAGAGAGAGAGAGAGAGAGAGAGAGAGAGAGAGAGAGAGAGAGAGAGAAAGAGCCAGAAAGAAAGGGGAAAAAAGGAAAGAATCATTCCGTGAGCGTGACTTTTCTTTTTCCTGGCGGAGCTGCCGCACAAGGTTCGCTACGTAATGACATCGTGCACCCCGGGGTTATACGTTCCCCGAAGCGCTGATCTTCCCGAGGCCTGATATCGATTAGGCGCGCGCGCGTGTGCATGTATGCCTTCACGGAGTTAGGCGGGGCACCTGCGAGTGCACATGGGATTTCCATTATTCCACGTTGTGCATTAGACAGGCGGCGCACACACACACACACACACCTGCACACAGAGATACACGTACGCACACCCTTCGGCGGAACGCCGCATGGATCCTCGGATAATTAACCCGAGCTCGCCGCTCTCTCAAATTCTCGACCTAAATTTATGTCCTTTTCACGACGGTTCGGCAATCTCGCGATTCCCGGCTAGATGTTAAATCGCCGCTTAATCTCGCGGATATTAATCGCTCGTCCGTCATCGCCCGTGCCGGGCGCTGTTCATCGCTCTCTTAAGTTCACGCGCGCGCGCGCGCGCGAACCAGCGGGGTCAACTTTGAATATTAAAAGCTCTCCCCCCTCCCCCTCCCTTCCATTCTCGTCGCGCCGTGCTCTCTCGGCTAATGATAAGTAAATTTGTCCCTGCGTTTCCCATACTCGGAGCCCCGTCCCTGGTGTTCGTCGCCGCGAAAGATGGAGCGCGGCAAATGGAAGAAGAAAACAAGCAGAATGATTGCAGCCGTGAACACCGGCGGCGGCGATCGATCGCGCGCCGCAGTTGGAAAAGTCATTAAATCCTCACGCGTCCCGCACCCTCGTCGAGTCATGATTTCGGTAACGAGCACGTTTGCCCGCGACGCTCCGCTCATCGGCGTCAATTAAGCCGCGACTCTGCGTTTTACACGCGAGCGGGGGAGAGGGGAGGAAATTCGCCGGTCGTTCGGGAACTCAGTTAACGAGGACCGGACAGCGTCGCAGTTTCAGCGTCTCGTCGTCGCGCGAGCGATTCCAACTTGCATTACGCTCGACAATGTATGAATCGCGCCGTAACTAACTTGGACCGCGCGTAACTGAGCTTGGGGTTCTTTCATAAGAGCGGATTCCTCGGATCGAGCATCTCGGCGGGCGATTAATCGGTCCGACGCACAGTGGGGCATTTTGGAAATTTACTGCTCACAATGTCTAGAATCCTTGATTTTTAACTGATTTAGATCATTTCTTTTTTTAAATTGTTTTTTAAATTTTTTTAATTGTTGGCGAAAGAATTCTCTGTCGTGGCCGATTTTTCTGAGAAATGTTTAAAAAATTTTTAAATCACATAAACTGCGAATCCAACAATGCTAGATTACATCACTGAGCTCCAAGTGCGTGTGCGCGGGTGTGCGTATGAAAGGAAGTTCTTTCCATCGTAAATATGTATAATCAGTCACGATTACAAATATGTCGCGGGTATATGAGCCAATAACGGACTTCCACATCACCCTGGAGATGCCGTTACAGGCACGTTAGGTTTTTTTTTAGCGAACCTTCACCTTGAGCCCTATCTTAACACTGTCCCTGCCAGATACCCAACTAACTACACAAAAGCATAAAAATATCTTCTAAATCGGTGATAAGGGACTTATTGTTGTAAAAGAGGCTTTTTGGGATTCGGGATCAACATTTCTGATTTTATATGTCCACCTCTTTGTGAACGAAGCGATATACGGATCTGATGAAATCAACAATTTATGAATTAAATCCGTGTTCGTATCCTTACGAGAACTTTTTCTTGTACCATACTCGGCGTATTCTCTTAATATTTTTATGCTGTGCTTCCTCGCATTCCTCTGAAAAAGAAGCGATTGGCTCATATACCCACGACATATTTGTAATCGTGACTGATTATACATATTTACGATGGAAAGAACTTCTTTCCATACGCACACACGCACTTGGAGCTCAGTGATGTAATCTAGCATTGTTGGACCGCAGTTTATGTGATTTAAAAATTTTTTAAACATTTCTCAGAAAAATCGGCCACGACAGTTCTGCAGAGAATTCTTTCACCAACAATTTGAAAAAAGAAATTATCTAAATCAGTTAAAAATCAAGGGTTCTGGACATGGTGAGCAGTAAATTTCCAAAATGCCCCACTGTGCGACGTCCCGAGATCGGAGCGCAGCTCTGCACCACTAATCGGGCGTGGGCAAAAGCGACTCTGTCGAGCACGCTCCGGCTGCGCGGGTCGTCGTCGACGAGAAGAGAGAACTTACTCGGACTGTGCACGCGTATCTCGCTGTCGCTCGGGCTGGACACACGGTGGTCGTTCAACGAGGCGACCCGCAAGTGTCCGACCGGACTGATCAATCGCTGAGTGGAATGACCGCCCGGCGATGCTAACCTCAGGTCTTTCATCTCGTTGCCGGTAACCCTGAAATTAGACAAGAGCAGGTCAGTCGGGTTGACTCGTGGAAGGCGTCACCGGTCGCCCGCCACGCCTGGAATGACGCCGTAAAAATGTTACGGCCCGAGCCCCCGGGGAGAAAAATGTGGGAACTCGATCCTTTTCGTGTCGACCGAAGGATCGCGTTGCTGCCTTTTCCTCTCCCCCTCCGGCTGAGAGTTTTCGCGTAGTTTCACGCTGCGACGGTGGAATAACACTCGAATATAATTTCAACTTGCATCTCTCTCTCTCTCTCTCTCTCTCTCTCTCTCTCTCTCTCTCGCAGTTAGTCTAGGTCGGAGGCCCCGCGAGATTTTGCCGAGCGGCGCCGTTACTAATTTAACGTTATCTCAGACACGTCAAGTGGGTATCGATAATTCACAGGCATATTTCGCGGCACGCGCGGCTCGCTCGATAGCGAATAACTTGCGATAACGGGAAGGAGGAGCGCGTTTCTCGCGCGGGAGCGGCTGGACGGTGAGCGCGAGACTGTGGGAGAATCCGCCCGAAAGAAATTAGTGGCGGAAATTAGATTGGACCCGACACGACGACCGTGGAAATTGAGACGCGGCGCGAAGGTGAGCCGCGAGCGCGAACATGCGCGGGAGGTAATTATGTTACCAAGGTGACGCAGTTTAGCTCACGTCGCCGGCTAATAATAGAGCCGGGCGAACTTGAGAGCGTTCTCACGCGTCGATCGTGGCATCGCGGCGCCCTTCGCGAGTTCGGACTAATTAGTGCAATTGCGATACCGCGCAATCCAAGCGCCGCGCAATTCTGTCAAAGAGCGCGCCGGGAAATCTGACCGGCGCGGGCGGCACGTTCGCATTATTTGCGCGGTCAGCGGCGCGCGCGGGGCTCATAATTAAGCAGCCTGACAGGCTGAACGGGGCGACGCAGCTAACGAGCTGCTCGCCGGCTAAATATGGCGATAGCTAATCGCGTTACGTCGCGGCCGCGTGCGCTCTCCTCGTGGCCTTCTACGACGGCCATCCAGTCCGCATCGTGCGATTTGACAATCGCGCAATAACGGCCCGTCATTGTGCGAGAAAAACCCGAGCGGTGCATCGAAACATCCGCTTGATATCGGCTTGATAAATCGCGCACCGAGACGAGTTCGCCTTTCGCAGCGGCGACAGCCCTCGCCGCCCCATCGGACGCGCGACTTTGCCGTTGTGAACGCACCTTAAGGGGGGAATTCCATGCGGAAGGCCGTTTTCAAGGCTATTTTTACGAATTTTTTTAACGGTAAGACCAATGAACCGGAAATTTTCACGGTGTATTCATTAATGTTCAAAGTATAAAATAAATTTTGTTGAATCATAAGAACTGAATCTGTAATTATAGATAAAAATGCAGTTATCCGATTGCGAGCTCCGTTTGCTGTCGACATATAATTCCAGGCCTCTCACTACTTTGAAGCCAAACAATGAGAAAGATTTTTAAAATATACATTTGCCATTGTAGCCCGTACCAAAATGAAGGCGGTGAAGCCAAGTTTGGGAAAATAATGACTGTACAAAGAAAAAAAAGTATAAGAAAGTAAAACTTTTTTCAACTTGTAGTCATGGTTAAAAAAAATGAATAAAATAAAATATAAATGTGTTCGAGGTAGAGACGAAAACTACACGTCTACTGTATATTATGCAAAAATTTCAAGTTATTCGGTTCAGTGTTTTTTGCATAATCGTGTCGACAGTTTGAGAAAATGGTGTTTCCGGATAAACGCGTTTAAAGTTTTGTGTGCACTTTCCATACAGATAGTAACAAATTTATTTTATACTTTGAACATTAATGAATACACTGTGAAAATTTCAGATCCATTGATCTTACTGTTTCTATTAAAAGAATTCGTAAAAATTTCCTTGAAAACAGCTTGCTCCGCATGTAATTCCTCCCTTAATGAATGAATAATGGCAGCGCGCTCGACATCTGTTACTTCACGCTGTAATTCTTCGTGCGTACGTCGGTGGAATAATAGAGTTACCCTGAGGCAGGTCGGCGCGCAAGGACCACGACCGATCAGTCGTGTGTTCGTATCTCTGAGAGAAACTAGGGAGAGAGGGGGGGGGGGATCACGACGCGATCTCGTCGCGGGGAGCGTAAATACTTTTCCCCGAGTCTCGTGGAAACTGGAGCAACATTGCGCAATCGGAGAGCAGAAAGGTCTAATCTCCCGAGTTTAACCCTCAAAGCACCAGGATGCGTGAAAGTTCACCCGATGATATTTTCAACTGTTGTCGCTAAATAGCAGTGCGTTACACAGCGGTGTCTTGCTGGTATTTATAATGTTCACAAATATTTATGGTCGATATATACTCAAAAAAAGAAAAAAAGAAAAGAATTAAAAGAAGCGTGAATGGAAATTTACCCTTCCTAGTAACAGGAGGTCCTACTAATAGGAAGTCCTAGTAATAAGAAGTGACAGAAACAGTGTTCAAGAATTAATCGTTACGTCGTCTGAATATTCTCCGCCGTTATCGGGGCAATCTTTGCTATTGAAAAATACAATCGGAGTCAATGTGGACAAGTGGGTCGAGTTAACCGATATTTAACTAACCTAAAAGCTCACACATAATGAACTGCATTCGTTGATCCAATTTCCAAGATCATTTCAAATAATAGATAAACGTACGTACATACTATCGGAATAACGGAACGGCCGGTGGCGCCGAAACGGGCGAACAAACTGTCGCTCGGCAAACGACGAGCTATCCATGATGAGCCCTCCATGATGATTACGAGTAACAGAAGGCAGCCGTTATAATGGCGACTCGTCTTGAACGACTGATCGCGCAGACGGGAAGCTCTATATCGGCGCGTAACACAGCGGCAAGGTCAGACCTCGCAGGCGCTGGAGACCTCGTCGGGGTCGACCATCGGTGAAACACGCGATATACTATGGACAGATTGTTTCAACTCCTTGGTAAGTTAACTGATGGTTCAAGCATATGTCTGTCTTTGTCTAAGCTGAAGGAAGAACAAAGACAAATGTATGACTCAACTATCGGTTAACTCACCAAGGAATTGGAACAACCCGCCAACCTAGGACTGTATGTTCTACCTTCTTGGTGAGTTGACTGATAGTTAAATCATATGTTTATCTTTGTTTCTCCTTCAATTCAAACGAAGACAGACGTATGATTTAACTACCAGCTAACTTACCAAGAGGTAAGGTTGGAACAACCGGCCGCTAGGTCGGGGAGTTTTCATCCGTGAGCGTGAGCGAAGTGGCCAAACAACGACGGCGTCTCATCCGGACTTGCGGGACAGCCAACACAGTTGCCTAATAAGTTTCGCCGTCGCGCGACAGGGGCGGCGGTTTCGTCGCAGCGCGCGAGCGCGGGCGAGGAGAGAGAGAGAGAGAGAGAGAGAGAGAGAGAGAGAGAGAGAGAGGCCGAGTGGTACTGGTACTTACATGCCGGGGCCTCTGCGGATGTCGCCGTTGCTGGCGGCCCTGAGCATCTGCGAGGTGGCCGGCTCGTCCTCCAGCTGTCTGAGAGACTGGTGCTGAGGAGTGGAGTGATGGAGCGGAAGCGGCTGCTGCCGATGATGGCCGGCGGCGCTGCTTCTCGGTAACGGAAGAGTGGACACTACCGTCGGCGCTTGAGTCAGCGTTCTTTGAGGCAGATGAGACGTGCTGACGGCCCTCGGCGGAAGCGGATCCCTTCCTATGACGGAGCCCGAGCCGGACGCTGCGAGGGAACGAACGGGATTCTCGCTTAATAAACGATGCGTAACCGAGGAATTCGCGATTCCCTGCGCGATGCGGAGGAAGGACTCGACGAGAGTCCTCCGCGGCACGCTGGAAAGCTACGAGCGTGGCTGCGCTTTTACACCCGGAGAGGCCCGACTAGAAATTTTGATCAGGTACGCCTGATATTGGGACCTAATAAGGACCTAATAGGATGAATGAAGGGCAATCCTAATTAGGTCAGTCCTTATAAGGTCAAGGATAACAATTGAGTAAGGAAGACTTTTATAAGGTTCTAATGATTGGGTCCATATTAAGACCTTATGTATTAAGACCTTAACCTAAATATAATACCTTAATGTACCAACCTAATGTAAGATATGATTTGCATTATCAAGTTTTAACAAAAACCCTTTGTAGTTAATTTTATATGTATATGATATGAATTACAATGTGAATATGAGAAAAAACGTAATACGAATTCAGTAAGGTAACTTAATAAGAACTTGACTATGAATCCTTAATAAGGTCCTAATATCTACGTTACATGGACTTACTAGGACCCGATAGTATTACCTTACTGGGACCTGAAGTTCAAATGAGGTTAACTTGATCAGGACCATGGGATAAATTTCTAGTCGGTGGCCGCAGCGGTGCTTCATATCGCTTCGCGTTTTGCCGGTGCCGTGCTTGCGACTTTCGAGCAACGTTGTCGTCGACGTGGACATTAAGCTCTCTCTACGTGACGACGCGGGGAAACGAGCCGTCGCGTCGACGGACATTCTTACCTGACCCTGCGCCTCGGAGTTGGTGAACGCGCCGAAAAGTGTCATTACGAGGGCGGCCTCGTTCGGGGAAGGTCGCTTCCTCGAGCGAACTCGGCTTTCGTTCGTCTCGCGCGCGCACGTTCGACGTCTCGCTCACCATTGCCGCTAGTTATTCTCAAGGATATCGGAGTTTCACGCCGAGATATACGCGCTAATTGGGTCCCGTGTGTACTCGGTGAGATCATACGAGTATTCCCGGCGCGCGCTGGAAATGCGCTGCGAACGATAATACGACAGAAATATGTGGGAAAGCAGAATGTGGACGCCGGCTCGGATCGGCAGAAATCCTTCGTAGACCGCTCGTTACGGTCCGCTCGTGCGGCGAACAACGAGCCGGTCGAGTCGAGAGAGAGAGAGAGAGAGAGAGAGAGAGAGAGAGAGAGAGAGAGAGAGAGACCTAACGAGAGACGCGTACGCTTCGTTAAGACTTTACGACTTCGGTGATCTCAACGTGAGTCGAAGGCGCGCGCTTGCCTTTTGTCGGAAGTCGCCGTTGCCGTTGATAATGTCGCACACACGGTTATCCGGTCGCTGCCCGAATCCATCGGCTCGCGCCGAAATGAGGGGGAGCAGAGCCCGCGATCGATCGGCCTTAAACCCATTAAGCGCCACTGCCATCTCCTCGCATTTTTCACCGGAGCTTCGGACGGATCGGTTTATCCAATCGAGATCCAAGACTGCCTGCCTCTCCGAGGTCTAAGATTAGCATCGGAATAATTTCCACTGATCGGCAGATGCGACTGCGACGATACAATTGACATCGAGGACGTGGAATTATTCATCAAGCGGCTTTATTCGATAAACAAGTGACGCTCCGCAAATGACCGCCGGTGGCTGAAGAAAGAAGTCCTCGGAAATCATATTCCCGATATCCTCGATTATCCGTCATTATTTCCCCTCGCGAGATCGTGCGTATTTTTACTCGCGACGTTAAAGCGTCGTGGATTTACGTCGACTTCGCGAGGAAGAAGCCGTCCACGATCTGCGTTTTTTCTCAGCAGTCATCCCGCGCGATCAAAGCGGATAATCAGCCTGGAGCCTGTCGTCACTGGATGGTCACCTCGGCGATACACACACAGTGACACGATCAACGACAGGGAGATTACCAGATAAGCCGCGTAAGCGGCTGAATTGTAATGATATAACAATAAAAGAGAGAAAATTCGCCCGTCCCCGCCGAGGGAGTTCGCTCGCGCCGCGACATTTCGACGTGAACGCGTCGCGCTTGGCGACGTAGATCGCAGAACTTGGACGGACGCGCGCGCGGGGGAGGGCGGGAGGGTTCGGACGACGAAGCCCATTCGTTAATATAAAACGATTCTCGCGGCCGGATGCCGCAGCGGACACGGGAATGACGTGCGCGCAGAGGAGGAGAGATCGAGCGGAAACGCGCGCGCGCGATCCCCCGGATCGTCGCTCGGGGAGCGGCGGTTTGAGAGGAGTCCGACGACCGAGGAGTCGGAGGAAAGGATAATTTATCGCGCGCAATTAACTCTCCACCTCCGAAAGCGGGCCGTAACGGCGGTTACGTAAAGCCCAGGATTGTGCTCGGGGAACGACACGTCAATCGAACGGATCGCGCGATCCCTCTCTTGCCTTTCCTCCTTCTCTCTTCCTCGGCGATTTTCGCTGGAAAGTCAAGCGAGCGTCACTCCGGACGGAAAAGCGGCGTCGACTCGGGTCGTGCCAGAGCGGATCCGCGCTTGCTCGCACGGAATGGCCGCTCGCGCGACGATCGTTCACGCTTAAACGACCGTCCGCGCTCGCAGAGTGACGTCGGAGAACGCGAACGAGTCGCGCGCGATGCCATATGCGCGCAGCAGGGAACTCCCCTCGCGCACTTTGCGCGTTGGAGAACAGACGCTGCTCGATCAGCGGAACGCGCGCGCGTGCGCGCGCGCGCGCGAAAGCGGGCCGTTCGTGATAAAGACATCACGCGGTTGGAAATTCCATTCTCCCGCCGCGCTGTGCCGAGCTGTGTGTGCGCACCTCCGCTGCGAGAATAGATACAGGGCTTTTCTGCTTATCGGATAAACCCGCTGGAGAGCGACCGGTTCGCACGGTGGAGGCGGAAACACTCGAGGAACACGGCGCGGCCACTCGAGCGCGCCTGCGAGAGGGCAGCGCGTCGGAGATGCTCCCGCTGGTGGCCGCACTTCGAAATTCATTAGGCCTGTTGCGAAATCGGTTTTGGGAACTTTGGTCTTGGTTATAAAGTTGTCGGGGCCTTGACTTGAAGCAACTTTGATACGTTCCGTAATTGATCAGTTGACCGCGCTTGGACCACGTTCGCAGCCGTGTACCACTTCTGTTTAGAAACTTGGTTTTGGCTATTTTTATAATTGATCAGCTGATCAACTGCGGAACGTACGCAAGTTTTAGCTTAACCCTTTGGGCCACGAATTTCTCCTTTTGACTGATTTCTATAAAGCTTTGTATCCAGGGGTCTTTAATGTCGCTGATTACAAATCCGTTGTCAGATTTCCGAAATTCAAAATGGCGCAGAAATTTGGGTTTTTCAAATTTCTCGCTTCGCTGTACCGAATCGGCTATCGTGAATTTTGAAAATCTGACGATGGATTCATAATTAGCGACCCAAAAACCCCTCAATACTAATTTCTCTAGGAATTGAAGTTTTTTTTAAGTTTTCCGTGCGACATATTGGATTGGTCATCTTGAATTTTGAAAATCTGACGATGGATTCGTAATCAGTGTCCCAAAAAAATCCCTACGTCTCGATTCCCAGATAAAAATAGTTAATTCTTCGCCTTGCCATACATCTTAAAAACATTTTATTGCGTTTACTTATTTACTATTAGCAATAATAAATTTAAAGAGTTTATAAATAATCACAATTATTTTACACTAATTAGGGTCTTAAGAAGCTAGAAAATATAATTGCTAAGAAATCGATCATTAAAACTGCTCATAAAATATCAAAAACTGACGGAATATAAGTGGGTTTCTGGGTGCCCGCCTGCGCCACAAAGGGTTAAGGCCTACCAACTTTATATTAGGTGAATAATCGAAATTTTTCAGCTAAATTCAAAGTTTAAAAGCAAGTAAAACGAATTTGTCAATCAAAATATTCGCCATTGTTTTCTGTAACTTTAAGCCACCTTTCAGGCAGCTGATGAATTCCATGTCGGAAAAATGGTTATGTCTTTGGACACGATAAAGTCGTCGAGTCATTTTCGAATCTCATCCACTGGTTTCAAGTGTGTATCGGGCAAGGCATGTTGCATCGACCGGAACAAGTGGTAATCGGCAGGAGGAAGATCGGTAGGAGGTGAATACGCCAGCTGCTGCAAGACGTCCTAGTCAAGCCACTCACTATGATGTCTTTTGTCGTAGAAACAACGTGTGGCCTAGCGTTATCATGCAACAATTTCAACAGGACGTTTTCCTTCGCCACTATACGGGCGTTTTCCTACTAATTCCTCACTCAAACGGATTAATTGGTGTTGCGGGTTAGCGGTCCGCGGTAATTGTTTCATTCGGTTTTATTAGCTCATAATAAATCACGCCCTTCATATCCCACCAAGTACAGACCAGAATCTTCTTTCCGAACTGTTTTGGCTTTGCGACCGATGTTGATAGTTCGCCGGGATTTATGCATTTCGATTTTCTGCATTTCGGATCGTCGTAGAGTATCCACTTTTCATCGCCCGTAACAATTTTCCACAGGAGAAACTTTCTACGCTGCTTATTGAGGAGAGAAAGACACACTGCCATTCGTTGATTTTTGTTGGCTTCAGTGAGTTCATGCGGAACCCCATTTTCCTTCTTTCTGAATATTCCCCATCTCGTGTAAGCGTTTGTATGGAAATAGTTTGTTGCATTATTCCTAACCGCTCTGCAAGCTCTTTTTGCATTTATGCTGAATTCTCAGCGAGCAGTTGCTCCAAATCATTGTTGCCGCACTTCCGAGGGCCTCCAGGACGTTCTTTGTCACTCAGACTGAAGTCGCCGCTTTTAAACCGTCTAAACCAAAACGCACACATATCGTGCACAATATAATGTACCTTCGCCGAGAAAGGAACAAATCGATTCTCATGCTCTTGCGGCATTTTACTTTGTTGGAATTCGTAAAGAATGCAGTGCCGGATATGCACTTCATCTGTTGCCATTATTAACTGTACTGAACTGAATAATTTTTAGGCTATGTATGTTT